GTGCGTTAGTTGTCAAAAAAAATTGGTGGTCACTCAGTCCACAACTGTTTGTGGGACATTGCTGTGCGGAGTTGGCTGCCCACAAAATCCACAGTCAGTTCGCCTTACAATATATCCCGTGAAGCACTTAGAGATGTCTCAACAACGTGGTAAGGCTCTATATCAAATGCGAGGATTATTATTATTATTGTTAATATTATTGTGGTCTTACTCTCGTGACAATTCCTATATCGGGATGAATCGAATTGTTAGTAACTCGCGTGAGCAGAGAGTGGTTTATAATAATAAGACTCCTTGCATTTGATACAGCCCCTCATCACTTCGTCGAGACGTCTTAAAAGAGCTTCACAGGATGTACTGCAAGGTGGAGTGACTGCGCATTCAGCCGAGCTAACAGGGAAGTGTCTGATCCCGGCGTACATCGTTAGTCCAGGGCTTTCTAATTAAGGAATAGAGTTGATGTGTAGCTCGGGAATGCGCGCGGGGACAGGGTGGCCTGAGTTATTGCAGACTGTGGGGCTCGGGGGAGCTTGACCTGCACCTGTGATTTGTCTCTCATTTCCAGTGTGTGATGTGATTGTCAAAGCGAAAGGGGGTGATGTAATGCGGCTATAACAGCAGATGGGTGCGGGGAGGGCTGAAACCTTACACCGACCCTGACTTCAGCTGTGCAGGGATTTTGCACCGGGAAACACGTTGTATAGAAGAGGATGTTCTCATTACTGCTCCCCAGCGTTCAACACCCCCCCCCACACCATCCCCCCAAAACACCACCACTCCCCGCTCTCCCCTATGCCCCCTCCAACACACCATCCTCCCCTGTCTCCCCCACCTCACACCCCACCCCAACACACCATCCTCCTTTCCCCCGCGCCCTCCCCCCCAACACATCATTCCCCCCTCCACCCCCCCCCCTGTGCGTTCCAGTGAGATTTAATTTTTTCTAATACTTAAATCCTGTAAGATTGGAATTGGAAGCTTGACGTCAGCTCAGAGCGAGCCTTTGATCTTGAGTAGACCAGGTGTTTTTTTCCTCGTTCGAGGTAGGGTTGATCTTGGAGGCGGGGGGAGTGGGGCAGGGGGAAGCAATATTATAATTATTATTTCATTCTCCGTGGAAAAAAAAGCATTTTTTTATAAGCCCCCCCCCCACCCCTCTCTACACGAGGCCCTGAGAAAATCAAATTAGGATCCACACAGCAAATTAGGATCACGACAATTTTATAATAATAATCCTTGCAATTGATACAGCGCCTTATCACGCCGTTGAGATGTCTCAAAGCGCTTCACAGAACATACTGGAGTGACCGTGTATTTTGTGGGCGAAATAAATCAGCCAATTGCGCACAAACAGTCATGTAGTGAATGGCCAAATGTTCTTTTTTTTTGGAGAGATTATTACTGCCCGGAAAGCGATCCACCAATCGACTAACAACCGGGTGCCTACTTACTGCTACAGAGGCGTGTGGAGTAAGGAAACTTGCCTAAGATTTTGCCCCGACCTGCCCGGGAATTGAACCCGGGTCCTCTCGCTTGAGAGGCGAGCGCGCTAACCGCTTGAACGAACCATATTTTGGGTGTCATGAGTGTAGAGAGCATCTCCTTCCTGACCACGTGTCTGAGTGCTGAATGTGGACTCCAGGCGAGAGGCATTCAGGTTGGCTGCTTCCTGCAGTAAAGGCAGATATAATCACCCCCCCACCCACAGTAACGACGACATTGAGGGGCTTTGTGCGGGCAATGTGGGGTCGGGGACTGCTGTGGCGTCAGCTGGAAAATCACAGCAATTTTCTGCATGAAGTCTTTTAAGACGTGTGAGGTTATTGTCAGCCCTGTGCAGAAATCATCTGGCAAGCAGAGGAGAAAGAGAGGGGGGCAGGGGGGGGCGGGTGGGTGGGTGGGGGGCGAGGTATAACTCGTGAGCCTCTTAAAGGGACAGGCCCCCCCCCCCCCCCCCCCCTGTGTCTATTTCTGTGCAATATCGTCTGCACTTGCGGAGTTCGCTCGTGGGCTTAAGGTGATGGTAAAATTTAAAGAGCAGGTGTTGTTATTTTAAGATGCCCGGAAGACGAATTAAAGGGAAGGTTTTGTTTGGCTTGCGCTTGGTCGGGTGTAGGGGGTGGGTGGAGGGGAGGGGAGGTGGGTGGGTGGGTGGAGAAATTCTTTGGAGTCGTCAAGTCGATTTCTTTTCAAAAAAAGGGTCATTGGATTGGCTTTGTCAAGCTGACACTCCAATGCCACGCTGGGCGGGGTGGTGGGTTACATTGTCGGAGGCACCATCCTGCGGATGAAACGTTAAACAATTGGCTGCCGCGTTCGCCCACAAATATACAGTCAATTCACTTTACAGTGTGTTCTGTGAAGCGCTTTGGGACGTCCTCCCGACGTGAAAAGCGCTATATCAAATGCAGAGGATTATTATTATTATTAAACCGAGGTGGGTGCTACAGATCCCGTGGCGCTATTTGAAAAGAGAAGGGAGTTTCTGTCTCTCCCAGTGTCCTAACCAGCAATTCCCCCCTCCCCAAATAAAATCGGTCGCTCACTGCACGGCTGGCTGTTTGTGGGACGCCTCCGCGCGCAAACCGGCTGCGAGTTAGCCCACCGAATAACACGCAGTCACTTTGCAGTGTATCCCGCGAAGCGCTTTGAGACACCGCAATGACACGGTGAGGCAAGTGCGAGGGTTATCATTTCTTCGTCTCACAAAGCCGATGTGGGACCAGGGTTCAGTGCCCAGTGTCGGCAGAGGGTTTTGGTAACGTCACGGATATTTATCTTGAGGAGAGATACGCTGACGGAAGGAAGAGTGACAGATAGCTTCGTGTGTGAACTTCCCCTGACCTCAGTACAGCCATCAGAGATAACCAGCATCCTGTTTACCGCTCCGGAGAACCATTCATACACAACCATGTCTTTGCTCGATTAACTTATTAACTTGTTTACAAAAGCGCTCTCTCCCCATCTGTCTCTCTTTCCTACCCCACCCCACCCCACCCTCCCTCCCTCCCCGCCACTACCAATTCACCACCAATGATTTGAAGTCATAGCAAAACGTAGAGCGGGGGGGGGGGGAGTGGGAGGAGGATCATTGGGATGGGTATTGTAAGGTAGTCGCTAACAAGATTGCGCAGTCACTACACTTCACAGTAAAATTCCTGTGAAGCGCTTTCAGACGTCCTTCTCCCGCGAAAGGCGCCGTATCGAACTCAGCGATTACGACCAATTCCCACGTGTGGGGACCACTGCAGCAGGCTGGCTAGTTACAGCTTTAAGACAGCACCCTCTCCACTGCCCCCCCCTCACCCCCCCCCAACCCCAACACACACACACACGCACACACACACACAGACAGACAGACGCACACACACAAGTCAAGTCCAGAGCAGGAACATAACAATGAGAGGTTTGTAACAGCGGCCGTTATGCGACGGCATCGCTCGCATAGCGCATGCGAAAATATGGCAACACGAAAATATTCCACCTCCTCCTCCTCGGGCTTATTCCAACCATCCCAGCACAGGGTGTGGACTGCGGGAAAGGAAGGCAAACTGATCGTTACTCTCCCCCCTACATGCTGGTGGGGGGAGCATTGCAATGTCGGAGCTGCCGTCCGTCGGATGAGACGTTAAACCGAGGTCCCGTCTGTTCCCTGTTCAGGCGTTAAAGATCCCGCGGCGCTACTCGAAAAAGAGAAGGGAGTTTCTCTCTCACACTAACCTGGTCAGCAATCCCCCCCCCACCCCCACCCCCACCACCCTGCCCACCAGATAAAATCAGTCATTCATTCATTCCATGGCTGGATGCGGGACGTGGCTGTGTCTAAATTGGCTACCGCATTGCCTACAAAATACCCGGTCACTACACTTTACAGTGAATTCCCGTGAGGACGATTTTGAGACGATTTTATGACGTGAAGCCGAGATATCGAATGCGAGGGTTGGTGTTTGCAAATGAATCGACAACTATCTCCAAGGTCATAGAGTGTCCGTCCAGTATATGTGCGTGTCTGTGCGTGCATGTGTATTTGTGTTTCTGTGAAGCACTTTCAGTGTGTATGTTTGTGTGTGTGTGTGTGTGCGCGCGCGAGCATCTGTGTGTGTGTGTGTGCGCGAGCATCTGTGTGTGTGTGTGCGCGCGAGCATCTGTGTGTGTGTGTGTGTGTGCGCGAGCATCTGTGTGTGTGTGTGTGCGCGAGCATCTGTGTGTGTGTGTGCGCGCGAGCATCTGTGTGTGTGTGTGTGTGTGCGCGCATCTGTGTGTGTGTGTGTGTGCGCGAGCATCTGTGTGTGTGTGTGTGTGTGCGCGAGCATCTGTGTGTGTGTGTGCGCGAGCATCTGTGTGTGTGTGTGTGCGCGAGCATCTGTGTGTGTGTGTGTGCGTGAGCATCTGTGTGTGTGTGTGTGTGTGTGTGAGCATCTGTGTGTGTGTGTGTGTGTGTGCTGTGCAGGGAGTAGGAAGGAAGGGCTGTTCTGTGGTCTTTATCCGTGCTTTTTTCTTGTGTGTCAAAAAAAAGAGAAAAGGCGTTTGAGCGAGATAAAGGCCGTTCTTTAATCTCCTCGAGGATACACGCTCTCAAACGCTGGTGTGACAGTGAAAGCCCTGCCCTGAGACAGCCCTGATAGCTGCTGACCTTTATGACTTTGGCAGCTCAGAGCCGCTGTAAGGTGACTCTGTCTGTGGTTCTGCACTTACTTGGCTTCAGAGGTGAGCGAGCCCTGGTAATCCTCGCCCGCTCTGTACGCACTCGCAGTTCCACCAGCCCACAGGGGTCACACAAACCGAACGTGCTGCTCTCTTCAGGTTCTGACCCCCTCTCTGCTCCCCCAACCCCCCTTCTACCGCCGCAACCCTCCCTCTGCCCTCCCCGCTCCCTCTGCTCTCCATTCCCTCTTGAAGACGTGATAAGGCGCTATATCAAATTATTACGACCCTCTCTATCCCTGCCACACTCTTCTCTCCCTCCTTCTCACACGCTCTCCCTGTGTTGTGTCTTACAGGTGGCTTTGCGGCGTTCTCCTCCTGTTTCCCAGGCTTATGTGAGACGAAGCCAGCCTCGCTCCTGCCCATGAGCATCTCACAGCCCTGTCTGCCCGTCGCCAACATCGGGCCCACTCGCATCCTCCCACACCTTTACCTGGGCTCCCAGAAGGACGTGCTGAACAAGGTCAGTCACCGGGGGAGGAAACAGCTCTCAGGCATCTCGGTCTTACACCCCTCCTGACCCCCCAACCCACCCCCAGGCTCGCGGGCAAACCCTAGACTGTCCAGCGCCTTGGGACGTCCTCCCAACGTGAAAGGTCCTCTGTAAATGTCGTGTGTGTGGTTGTTGTTATTAATTTGGTCACTCAATCCACGGCTGTTTGCGGGGACGCTGCTGTGCGCGATCGGCTGCCGCGTTTCGCCCACAAAATACGCAGTCGCTACACTTTACAGTGTATCCTGCGAAGCGCTTTGAGTCGTCTCGGAGACGTGATCAGGCGCTGTATCAAATGCAGGGATTATTATTATTGGTTATTATTTTATTATTAAATGTCAGATGGGGAGGGGGGGTGTGACTGTGGGGAGGGGTTCCGTGTGACATCCTCTCAGGTCCCAAATTTCCCTTGGTCTTAGCCTTAAGATCCTAATATGTTGCTGTCAGCCAGCGCTCTCGTCCCTGAGTTAGAAGGTTCTAGGATCAAACCCCACGTCGGGGCTTTGAGTTCACAATCTAGGCTAACACTCAGATGCAGCGCTGGGGTGAATTGCTGTTTTGTTGAAGGAACAAATCCCCTCTGCCTCGCTGCCTCCCTTGTCTCCTTCAAGACGGGTCTCGAGACCTTCCTGCAGATTTGCCTTCAGTCATCTTCCCTCCTCCACCGCCCTCCCCTCCCTTGCCCCCCCCCAACCCCTCCCTCGTCCCAACCCCAAGCTCGGGCGAAAACCCCTCCATGTCCAGCTCCTTGGGACGTCCTCCCGACGCGAAAGGCGCCGTGTGAGTTCAACTCACTGTTGTCGTTGTTGGCTTTCGGACGAGATCTCTCGTCGGTACAAATTGGCTGCCGTATTTGCCTTGAGGCTTCACGGTGCAGCGTGGTTTGCGTTGCGTTGCTGACGGCGCGCGGCGCCGGCTGTGTTTGTGCGACAGGATTTGATGCTGCAGAGCGGGATCACGTACGTGCTGAACGCCAGCAACTCCTGCCCGAAACCGGACTTCATCCCCGACAGTCACTTCATGCGGATCCCCGTCAACGACAACTACTGTGAGAAGCTCCTGCCATGGCTGGACGAGTCCGTGGAGTTTATAGGTGAGGCTTTGAGCTCACACTCACCACCACCACCACCACCACCATCACAACCACCACCACCACAATCACTCCCGCGACAACAAGGAGGATTACATAGAGCCATGAGGTTATCTCTGCTCACCATGTCTCTCTCTCTCTCTCTCTCTCTCTCCCTCCTTCCCCCATTTTCCCTCCCTCCCATCTCTCTCTCTCTCTCTCTCACTCTCTGTCCCCCTCCAGATAAAGCCAAAGTTTCTAGTTGCCGAGTGTTGGTTCACTGCCTGGCCGGGATCTCTCGCTCAGCGACTGTCGCTATCGCCTACATTATGAAGACCATGGGCTTGTCCTCAGACGATGCTTACAGGTAACTCAGCCACTCCTCACCAGTCCCCGCCTGGGGGGGGAGAGTCAGTGCCGTTGAAGCGATCCGAGACGCCATCGGACAGCTATATAAATGCAAGTTGTTGTTGCTATTATTGAATGCTTGGGGGAAGCACAGCCATTCTGGCCTGAATTCTCTCAGGTGCAGTCATGCCAGACTCAATTCTGTGGAGTCCTGTAGCTCAGTGGTTAGAGCGCTCACTTCTCAAGCGAGAGGACCCAGGTTTAATTCCCGGTTAACCTTAGGCAAGTTTCCTTACCCCACACACACGCCTCTGTTTACCTAGCAGTAAGTAGGAAGCTGGTTGTAAGTCGATTGTCAGATGGCTTTCCAGGGGTACAACAACAACAACAAGATTCCATTTATAAAGCGCTTTTCACGTCAGGAGGACGTCCCAAGGCGCTGCACAGTTGGGTCATGACCAAGGAGGTACAATCCTCTCCCTCCAAGAAATAATGTGGTCGTTCAACCCATGACTGTTTGTGAGACACTGCTGTGCGCAATTGACTGCCACGTTTCACCGACAAGATACATAGTCGATTCACTTTAAAGTATATTCCGTGCGTCGACGACGTGATAAGGCGCTATATCAAATACAAGGATTATTGTTGTTATTATTATTATTATTATTCTCTGAGTGAGGCACCAGTTGTTTCGAGCTGCAGACAGACACCCTGAGGCCTGAGTGTATGTTCCTGTCTTTGTCTCTCAGGTTCGTCAAGGATCGCCGACCGTCCATCTCACCCAATTTTAACTTCATGGGGCAGCTGCTGGAGTACGAGAAGAGCCTGAAGCTGCTGAAAGCCTGGTGCCGGGGCCAGTCAGACAGGCCCGAGAAGGGGGTCGAGAGGGAGCCAAGTGGGGCCAGGCCTGGCCGGGACAGGCCGTGGAGCAAAGCCAGTGTCTCGGGACAGCCCGCGGGAAAGGCCGGGGACCTGGCGAAGCCTCTGGAGAGCGAGTGTAAAGTCTCGTCGCACTTGGCCCTGCAGCAGGGCCTGAACGGCCTCCACCTGTCCACAGAGAGGATCCAGGACAACAACCGCCTCAAGCGCTCCTTCTCCCTGGACATCAAGTCGGCCTACTCTCCCAGCGTGACCGCGGGAGACGCCCTCGCTCCCATGGGTGCCGATGACATCCCCAAACTGTGCAGGCTGGAGTCAGGCTTCGCTCGCTTCACACCAAGCCCAGACAGGAGCCCCATCCCAGGCCCGGAGAGAAGCCCATTCCCAGGCCCCGACATAAGCCCATTCCCAGGCCCGGATAGAGGCTTAATCACAGGCCTGATCCCAGGCTCGGAAAAATCCCACTACCAGGCCCTGACAGAGGCCTGGTCACAGGCACGGACAGGAGCCCATTCCCGGGCCCGGTTAGAGGCCTAACCGCAGGCCCGGAGGTGTCCTCTTCCCCAGGGCCGGACTGTAATGGGGAAATCAAAGTACGACAGAGGAGGAAGGCCAGACACGGCGGGGGAGCCTGCAGCCCGTGTACCCCCACAGCCCCAGGGTTGCCCGGGGTCAGCGTGAACCTGGCCCGGCCCTCGGATGGTAAACTGAAGCCGGCGCTGGTGCTGAGCGTGCCGGGAGCTCAGCCGCGAGGAGGGGGGAAGCACACGGAGCCCACTCAGGCCCCGGCCACCGCCACGTGGTTCTTCGCGGCCGAGCCCCCGCCGGTGGGCCCTCGCCCCGGGCTGTTCCCCGCGGCCCCCTCCTCACCGTATGCCGAGCAGTACGGCAGCGTCAGGCTGAGAGACAAGCAGCACCAGGCACAGGCCGAGACCAGGGAACCGGCCCGCAGGAGCTGGCAGGACGAGGCAGGCCTGGAGAAACAGTTCAAGCGACGAAGCTGCCAGATGGAGTTCGAAGGGGGGATGGCGGAGAGCAGATCCCGGGAGGATCTGGGCAAGATAGGCAAACAGTCCAGCTTCTCGGGCAGCATGGAGATCATCGAGGTGTCCTGACACCCCATCTCCCTTTCCCTCCCCTCTTGGGCCATTGCATTTGCCTTTCCCTGCTACGTAAGGCGGAGAGACACTGAGGAAATTCCAACACATACACACACACACACAACCTGCTGTGATCTAATAATAAATGGTGGAAACCGGCTCAGTGGGCTGAATGGCCTCCTCCTGTTCCTGAAAGCAGCGCGAAACGTCCGCGGACTTTCTCGGAACAGAACAAAAAAGGACACGTGAAACCAGGAGCGAGTAAGAGACGTCTCTGTTACATTTCGCTCCACGGGGTTCAATCCCACCCCCCACCCCCCCGACACGCCAGGGCAGGACTCGGAAGGCGTGAATTCTTTTTTTTTCAATAGGAAAAAAAGGAAGAGAAAAAAGAGAGATATAGACACAGAGAGAGAGGCAGAGAGAGAGAGAGAGAGAGAAAAAGAAAAAAAAACTAATTTATTTCTTCGCTCGCTCCAGCTGGGACGGACTTGGGATTTTTTTTTAAAATATGAAAAAAAAACGGACATGCAGCAAGAAGAAGATATTTTTTTCCCTCTGTTATTATTATTATTATTATAATTATTATAATTATTATTGTGGTCACACGACAAGACAAGACAAGACAAGATGGTCAGGCCGAACCACACACACACACACGTCTTGTGTAAGGACTCGGGAGGTGTTTTTTTTATATAACAAAAAAAAAGCTAATTTATTTGTTTGCACCAACGCACTCTCTCGGGCCGCGCCAAGCTCCAAAGGCACCGATCGCTGACGCTCGCCTGTTTGTACGGAGCTTGCGGTCACAGACAAACTTCTAAGCAATACTCCGAAGTCTCTTTGGAACTTCTGTGTCTGTTGCATTGTATTGTAAAAGGCCGGGCTGCACGGGACTGCTGTCTGCGTGCGTTCAAAGCCGGTTTTATTGCACTTTGCCCTTCCTTTCCACGTGACTTGCCCCCTCTTTTGCCCCTCCCGCCCCCCCCACTCCCTACTTCCCTCTCCCTCCCTCCCTCCTTCGCTCTGTCTCTCCCCTCCTCCCCTGGTGAAACGCGGATCGCAATGATAGAGACCGGAGTCAAACCGTCCCTTCTCTGCAGAGTAACCTGTTTCTTTTGCCCAGTGATTGCCAATGGATGAGGACGGACCTAGTAGTGGATGGTGTAAATAGTGGTGTGGTTCTGAAAGCCACGGCTGATTTTCAATGTGCTGTTGTTGTTCTTTTTGTGGGGGGTTGGGGGGGCGCGGTGAAGGGGGTGGGGGTGGGGGGGGTGGGGCGGGGGAGCTGCTGGGGTGGGGGGAAGTTGTAACGATATTATCCTGACTGCTTGATGCAAATACCTCAGGTTTGACAATAGATTTGAAAAAGATTTGAAAATTCGAAAGAAAAAACCCCATTTATAATGGCATCTCTTTCTCCTTCCCCCATTGCATCCCGCCTCAATCCCAACTCCTCATCGCCCCCAACCCCCGCCTCTTCGCTCCCCCTCTCCCTCCCCACCTCAACCCCCGAGTCTCTGCTCCCTCTCCCCCCACCCCCTCTATTTGCTTGCGAAGCACTCACAGTAGCTGCAACGACAACAGAATCATCTCAGGTTTATAATTGAGGAGTGTAAGAGGGTGAGGGGGGGAACAGTGTCACTGAGCTACCAGCGATCTGCTGAGAACCATACCAGCTATGTGACATCTTCTTGACTTGATAACATTTGCCCCCTCTGCCCTCCCTCCCCCAAGCATCGTCCCATTAATCGCCCCTCTTTTCCTATTTCCCCCCTCTCTCCCACCTCTCTCTCTCTCTCTGTATCCCTCTCCTCTTTCTCTCCTGTGCTAACCTTCTCCCCGTCTCTCTCTCTCTCTCTCTCTCAATGCCCCTGTTCTGCCTCACCCTCGCCATGAAAATGGCCCGCTTCACCCCCATTACATTATTGCCCCCTCCTCCTGTGGACAACCGCCTTGACCACAGCCCCAATTTTGCGCTCAAGATTTTATCGACCAACCCCACCCCGCCCGCCCACACACACGCACACACATCCCTCCAGCCCAGGCCCTGCTTTGGGTCACGGATTGAGGAGAGGATGGGGCTTTACTCCCATGCTGTTCAAAGAGCTTTTGTGTGACCACAACCAGCCAGTTTGCTCCCGCTCTGACCCCGGCCTGGGAAGAGTTGCCATTTTCTGTTGATAACGAATGTGTAACTGAGCAATGCTGGTCAGAGGCTTGGGGATCGCATCACTTAACCTGGTTGATTGTAGAGAGACCCCCATCTCTATGTAAAGCTGGTACTTTGGCTGTTTTCTCCCCCCTACCGCACCCCACCTCGCCCCCTCTTGTTGCATCATGGAAAGGGGAAACACATTGTGAGGCGTTCATTGCTACCTTTGAAGCTGAGTTTGCTGTGAGGTGGTGGGTGGGAGGGAGTCAAAGTGTGTGTGTGTGTGTGTGTGTTGGCCGGGGGCGATGGTGGAGATGATCCCAAATGTTGGTGTGTTCATGGAAAAGGGTTGATTCTGGATTGGGGAGAGCAGCTCAGTAAAACTGGAGGTCCCCACAGGCTCATTACTCTGATCATCATGACAAGCAGTGAGTTTTTTGGGGGGTGAAGGGGGGAAAGTCGCTTGTTTTCCCCAATCCCATCCGCACCCCTCCGACAGGCAAAGTCTTAAACAATGTAATTCCGCACCGCCCCCTCCTCCTTTCTGCTCCACTTTTATTTATTGAGCTCCTCCATGCTGGAGATTTCTGGCGGGGGTGGGGGGGGAGAGACCTGGCGGGAGGGGCTGTGGTAGTGGTGGGGGGGCGCGGGGTTGGGGGGAGTGGAGGAGGGGAACGAGTTGTAGAGATAGAATTAGAAAAACGCTGGAAAATTTTTTTTCACTGCAGAGCATTCAGAAATCAGCATTAATCTCGCCTTTTGGGAGAGGGGGGGGACATCATCACAGGGGCTGTGTGTGCGCGATTGGTGGGTCGGGAGGATGGGCACATTACAGCTTGCTCCTTTAGTCAACAAAAGCAGACGTGGGTGGGGGGGGGGTGGGTGATATTCTGCCAGCATTTTTTCAGGGGGGGGCGGGGAGCATGTGGAGTCCTGTAGCTCAGTGGTTAGAGCACTCGCTTTGCAAGTGAGAGACCTGAGTTCAATTCCAGGCAGAGGGCGAAACCTTGGGCAAGTTTCCTTACTCCACACAGAGCCTAATAATAATCCCTCCAATAAACCAAAAACAATAATAAATTGGTCATTTTCAATCTACGACTGTTTGTGGGACATTGCTGTGCGCAATTGGCTGCCGCGTTCGCTCACAAATATACAGTCAATTCACTTTACAGTATATTCTGTGAAGCGCTTTGGGACGTCCTCCCGACGTGAAAAGCGCTATATCAAATGCAAGGATTATTATTATTATTAATGCCCCCCCCCCCTCCCTGCATTCTTGTTCTAGAGCGACGCACTCCATCTCGAGCCACGATATCACTGTGCAATTTTATCTTCTATGCCAACCTCCCCCCACCCCCCCCCCATCAACTCCCATCTCTCTCTCCTCTCTCTCCCCAAACAATTTAAAAAGACCCGAGTGGAAATAAGATGTTGCTGTCTTCATTGTAATTCCCCTCCCCTGCCCTCCCCTCCCCTCCGCCCTCCCCTCCCTACCCTCCCCCGCTCCGCTCTTCTCCCCTCCTCTCTCCTCCCCTGCCCTCCTCCTCTCCCCTGCCCTCCTCCTCTCCCATGCCCTCCCCTCCCCTGCTCTCCTCTCTCCTGCCCTCCTCTCCTCCTCTCCCCTGCCCTCCCCTCCTCTGGGTTGAGTTCCCCCCCACCCCTTTGAAACGCCTTGCAATTCCACCTGTGTCAATGCCAAAGGAGAATTGTGGAATCGGTCTGATTTGGTGATTTTCTGTCGCTTTTTGGGAAAAAAATAGCTTCTCAAATACAACGGGATTCCCAATGAGGTGCCATTTTTTTGTGTGTGTGGTGGGGGCGGGGGGGATACGGTCCTGGGGAATCCATATTTTCTGCTTATCTTTCCTCTCTTTCCCCTCTCTCGTTCACCCCCCCCACCACACCATCAGCTTCCCGGAGTCAATCAAGCATCACAATTCCCTGTTGTAATAAGCTATTGCGAGAGAGTGAGCGAGAGAGGAGGAGTGACCGGTCAAAGTATAAATAGGCTAGATTAAGTATTTATTATAAATCATGTTTTGAAGCTTTATTTTGATAGCGTTTCCTCTCTGGTTTTGGACTTTGGTTCAGCTCAAGTGTCTTTTCCTTTCCTTCCCTCCGTCCGTCTGTCTGTCTGCATTTGTTGTGAAAAGCAGCCTGTGTGTCCCCTCCCGTGTGATCGATCCACTCTCCCTTCCTCTCTATCTGGTCCTTTCCCCCCCCCCCATTGTGAATTATTGGATATCGTTACTAAGTGTACTGAAGGAAACCTTTGATTTCTGTTACTAGCCCTATTTATTGAATGCTGTATAATGGTGCTTTTTTTGTATTTGAACAGTGGTGTAATAAATAAATGGATAGACATTTTAACCTGTGCCTCTCACGTCCAGTGTGTGTGACTGGGCAGCTTTATTGAACAAGAGGCTCGCTCATTCACTTGAGGAGCTCATGTCTGTTGCGGGTGCGAGGAGGGGAAGGCAAGCAGCAATCAATAAGTAACACATTACAGACAGAATCTGAGGTTGAATTCGTTGTATTTCTAAAGGGTTCCTTATTAATAATAATAATAATAATGCTTATAATAATCCTGTGCAACCAGTGCTGTATCACTTCGCTGTGACGTCTCAAAGAGCCTCGCAGGATTTTTCTGTGAAGTATAGTGACGTAAGCTCACGCGGCAGCCAATTTGCACACAGAAAATATCCCACAAACAGCCATGAAGTGAGTGACAATTTTTTTTAAATGTGGGGGATTGTTGGCCAGGACACCGGGGAAAGTCCTTTCGCCCTAACTCTAACCTACGGGATCTTTAACATCCACCTGAACAGGCAGAGATGGGACTTTGGTTTAACGTCTGATCTGAAGGACAACACTTCCATCAATGTAGTGTACGTCCCACTTTCCCCCCACTCCTCAGAACTGCAGTGGAGCATCAGTCTGGACTGTGAGGAATTCTTGCAAACGGGGAATCATTCCAGGATTGCATGACGCTATCATGTGGGAATGTCCCTTTCATGCTATTTACATCCGGAGCAGAGTTCCTGTGGGTCGACGGGAATTCTGATCGCGTTCCTCAGGAAGGAATCTACTCAACAGGAATCTGTTGAGAAATACCACAAATTCGCTTTGGGCATTTTTATTTACCAAATGATTTCTCAGCTTGGAAACAAATTGCTTTTGGAAGCCACACACAATCGAGAGATTCACAGCTAATAGCAGGATGATGTTTCGCCCACAAAATAAACAGTCAATCCACTTTACAGTAGATTCTGCGAAGCGCTTTGAGATGTCTCAACAATGTGATAAGGAGCTATAGCAAATGCAAAGATTATTATTATATCTTGCTATAATTGTGTGTGTATTTATGTGTGCAGATGCCTGAGTGTCCAGTGCCTTCCTGACCTGAAAGGCGCTATACAAATGTAGTTTGTTGTTGTTGCTTGTGTTTGTGTGCATGGGTGTGCGCGTGTCAGCTGACAGGATTGCACAGTTGCCCAGAGAGCTATTACTCATGTCTGGTTTGTTGGTAATTGCCTCTTCATTGCAAAAAGCCAAGCTTAGCAAGCCCTTAGCCACAAAGAGGTGCATTATCTCAGAGCGAGTGTCCTGCTGCTCTCTTCTCACCCCTTTGATTGTACACAAACTGGCATGAGTGATAGGCCATCAGCGCACATCTCCGCTGTGAGCTCATTCTACTTGGCTGAATGCTGGTTGCTGTCTTATTGAATCATGTTCTGACAGTGCTCCAAATGTACCAAGGAGGTGTTGAACCTTCCGGTACTCTATTGCACAAGGCAGCAAGGCAATCAGCAAATACACCTATCCCATCGCGATCATTGCCCCCATGCTTGTTCGTGTGGCAGCGTCAGCTGGCTCAGTGGGTCACACTCTCTCCTCTGGGTCAGAAGGTTGTGAATTCAAACCCAATGTTGGGATTTGACTCAAGCTATGGGGGGAAGGGGGGGGGAGAGGGAGTGCTGTATTGTCAGCGATGCCGTCGTTCAGACGAGATGTTATACCCGAGTCCCGTAGATTTTTAATGATTGCATGACACGAGTTAAAAAAAGGAAAGTGTGGGTTCTCCTGATGTTTCTGTCTCCCAACGTACATAACCATTAAGTAGCTGTTCGTGGCAGCGTTTGCCACTGCATCAAAAAGCAGCTCTTACTCTCTTTCATCCAATAAGAGTTCACTGCCTAATAAACAGGGAATAGCTGGTCAGTATTCCATCGTGCGCTATGGTTTGCCCTCAAAACATCGTCAACAACACCACCAAAGTACATTTACGCAGAGCAGCATCTCGGAGCGCTTAACATTGGCGTTTGATGCTGAGGCCAGGGAAAAAGAGGAAGCGATTGAAGACACGGTCAGAGGAAAGGCTTCAGGTGCAATCAGAAGTCAACAACAACAACTTGTATTTATATAGCACCCTTCATGCAGGGTAGCATCTCAGAGCACTTGAGAAGTCAGCCAAAGAGGGATAATGCGGAGGAACAGAGGTCTAATCCGTGACGGGCTTTGAGATTGGCTCTTGTATCAAAGGCAAGGATTATTATATTTATTGTAATAATGATCAGAATTGGGAGACTCTGGGACTGGGAAGCAGTGCCATTCACAGTACAGTACCGTTACCAGAGTCGGGACGGAGAGAGCTCTCGAGTTTTGACTTGGGGGCTTGAACCCACAACCCGCTGACCCAGGGGGCGAGAGTGTTACTAACTGAGCCCGGTGACACCCGACAGGGACAGATCCACCGTCACCTCTAAACCACACGCGTGGTCTCACTTTATCCCCCGAAGAACCTGTGCTTGGGTCTGCTGCCCTCTCGTGGTTACAGACTACCTCGCGCCCAGTGCTCGAACGTCATACACGATTGGATCTGATCAACACAATTCAGCCAACTTGATCTCATCCTTTCAGAGTACCCTCGCCCATACCACCCCCCCCCCCCTCCCCACAGTGTTTTCCCATGGCAGCAACCAGCTATTTATAGCATCTTGTACATTTTGTACTTTGGTACGTTCAACATTGCAGAGTTAGTTCACAAACCACCTCCACTATTCAACCCAACACTGCTGCTCCACACACAACAAATTGCATTTGTATAAGAATAAGAATAATCCTTGCGTTGGATACAGCGCCTCATCACGTCGTTGAGACTTCACAGCATAAACTGTAAAGTGAATTGACTAGATTTTGTGGGTGAAACGCGGCAGCCAAATTGCGCACAGTAATGTCTCACAAACAGCTGTGGATTGAACGACCAAATTATTATTCTTAATTTTTTTTTGAAGGGATTATTATCCTGGAAAAGGGATCGGTCAATCGACTAACAACTTATTCCTACTTACTGCGAGGTGAACAGAGGCGCGCGTGTGTATGTGGAGTAAGGTACTTGCCTAAGGTTTTGCCCGGTCCGGGAATTGAACCTGGGTCCTCTCGCTTGTGAGGCGAGCGTGCTAACCAATACTTTTACATCAAAAAGTGCTGGAAGCTCCAACATCCCCCCCAACACCCTACCCATTCCCTGCGAGTTGTACATTAGAACCATTGTGAGCTGTTTGATCATTCTAGTCCACACCTATTGCTATAACTTCCTATCCTGTCTCTAACCAGTTATCGATCCTGCTGCTCTTTTTTTTAAGGATTGAATCAACGCAGCATATCTGTTCCATTATCTGCTGAGCCAGGGAGAAAACAAGCCTCATCTGAAGTGTTGAGGCTTGCGTGTTTATAAACCTGTGCCCTCCAGCTTTGTCCTTAAGAGATGTTCTGCAGCGCTTAGGGGAAAGGTACTGCATCCTTCTTAAAAGGAGGGACTGTGATCTTTAATGGAGCGGTGATGTTGTCCTTAAAGTGAGGTTCCGTATAATAATAAAACTAATCATTGCATTTGATATAGCGCTTATCACATCGTTGAGACATCTCAAAGCGCTTCACAGGACATATTATAAAGTGGATTCACTGTAGTTTGCAGGGAAGCGTAGCAGCCAGTGGCGAACAGCAATGTCCCACAAACAGAATGCCTTTGCATTTTGAGACGTCTTTGCGTAGATACAACAAAGAATTTATAGCGCCTTTCATGCCAGGAAGATGTCTCTCAAGGCACGGCACAGCTGAGGTAGTAATGTAACTGAACTAGCACTCACACCGGGTGCAAGAGCTCTCGAGGCTCAGAGCAGCCCAGCAATGGGTAAAAGCAGCGATAATTCACAATACAGTCAGACTGAACGGCCAGGGCTAAACAAGCGGATGGCTGAATGAGTGAACGTGCTGTCAAGATCCAGCAAATGTGATGAGTAAGGAGGCAGTGTTAACCTTCCTGTGAATTATAGGATCCTGCTCTCTCTACATCATTTATTTAAGAGGCATTGCTTTCATTCACAGCGCGCCACTGAGAACATCCTGCACACGTGCAGGGCACAGACTCAAGACGGCACTGCAGTAAATAATTAACACAGGCAACGCAGAGGGAACAGGAGGAAGAGCGGGCAGGATGCCGTGTTTGGAAACTTTAAACCTGTGCCCTCTAGCGGTGTCCTTAATAATAATAACCCTTGCATTTGATATAGTGCTTTATCACATTGTTGAGACATCTCAAAGATCGACTAATAAACTTACTGCTAGATAAACAGAGGCGCATGGGAGGAGTAAGGAAACTAGTCTATGGTTTCGCCCTACCCGGGAATCAACCTCGGGTCCTCTCGGTTGTGAGGCAAGTGCTCTTAACCACTAGGTTATGGAACTCCTTAAGGGAGATGCTCAGTAATTCTCAAAGGCATCATTCACAAAGAATCTGTAGTCCGTAAAGGTGAAGTACTGTAATCCTTGAAGGGGTTACATGTGATCCAGTGAGAAGATGCCTTTGCATTTAGAGACCTCTGCAGCTGGAGCTCTATCTACAAAGAATGGGCTAACCAGTCCGTGCAGAACTATTAGACTAACAGCGTAATTTCATCTTCTAAATCAATTGAACGTGAACAGTGCAAGGTGTTGGGGTTCAGGTGATGACTGCAATGTTACAGGGCTTGATCCCTGTGCAGTGCGCAGCAGAAACAGTCTCTAATGCCATCTGGTGGCACAAAAAATCACATGACTGTGCAGAATCCTTAATCTGAGTTTTAATTTGGAAGCCAATTTTTCGTAGCTAAAACGGAGCTGTCTTTGAGATTAAGATGGTGTGTGTGAGTACGGTCAAGGGAATGTGATCTTACTCAGCTCATCCCAATGCTAACCTACTGAGATGCTGCATTGCCCTTGTTCCGATTGTCAAGATCACTATTTTCCCAGCCAGAGACTAAAGTACACTCATAATAATCCTTGCATTTGATATAGTGTCTTATTACATCGTTGACACATCTCAAAGCAATTCACAGCATTCCCCACCTCAAATTCATGAATTCCAAAACAGGGGGGAAAAAAAATGAGAAAGGGCCAACAAGACACAATGAAAGGCTCAATCCCACGTCCTTCCACTCTGAATAGGAGGAATATAGCCCCCACTGCTACAATCTTCACCAGATCACAGAACTGCACCTGAACTGCACCTGGGGACTCGAGACACTACCACTTCAGCTGGGTTTTTGTCTGGTCTTTTTATTTTTCTACCATGGGGAGAGGGAGAGAAAGAGACTCAGACAGAAAGAGTAAGAGAGAATGTGTGGGGGCGGGGGGGGAGAGCTACAATTGACAGGCTTGGGAAACAAACATGCTGTACCTTAAATTAAAAACTCTCCTTTAAATGCAATCAGGAATGCCAGATGGGCTCGCAAGAAAACGCTCACAGAAAGAAAACCGCCCCGATTCTCCGTGTAAAAGAAATACAGAGATTAAATATTGTTTGGCTTTACAAGGTATTTACAGTGGTGTGTACAATATGCCTTAAGGTTGATTTCCACTTCTCAGTTACAGCAGCAAATCAATGAACACAACTGTAAAAGGTACTTACAGAATGCAGATAGAACATCTATAGAAATAAGGTGATTCTGTACCTCTAAAAATATATACATTGTATTTATAGTAAAAGAAAATGTCTTTCAGTCCCCGTTGGGACCAGATCGACCGACTGAATCGGTCACTGAAGAGTGTCCACAAAGGCATCGAACTCCTCCATGTTCTTCTCATAGATGGCCAGCTTCTCGGGCAGCGAGTCCTGGGAACAACAACAACTTCAATTTATACAGCACCTCTCATGCAAATTCTCAGAACAATTGACAGTGGTGGAGCACGACTTCAGTCGGGTGGTGGGGGGAGGGGGGAGAGAGGGGGTGGTGGAGGTGACCGTGAGCACGGTCAAAGAGGAAGATCGCGCTTGAAGATGGGAAAGGCGGGGTCAAGGCGGAGGGATTGAGGGAGCGAGTTCCAGAGTTTTGGGGGGTAGTGGGTGAAAGTGCGCCGCCGATGGTGAAGTGGAGGGCACGAGGGACAAGCAGGAGGCTGGAGAAGAATGTGAGAACGAGCCACTCCTCAACCTTCCTCCTTCGTCACACACACTCTCGCTTCTGGGTCAGAAGCTTCTGGGTTCAAGCTCCACGTTGGGAGTTGAGCTCATATTCTGGGCAGGCACTGGAGTCTCATGCTGGGAAAGCTCTGCATTGTCACAGGTGCCAATGTTTTTCCTTGGTTTCGGAGCCAACGATCCTCCAGATAAATTACTTATTTACTTCATGGCTGCTGGTGGCTCAATGGAGCAAATGTCTATTACATTTGTCCATAAAAATAATCACAATAACAATGTTACAGCCGTTCGCCGGGCTATTCATTTAGATTTTAACTAAAGTCTTTCTTACCAAATCCTCAGCCATCGACTGGGCACTGATATCTATAGACAGGCTGCTCAGTTGAGGAGGATTCTGAAATTCCCTGTAAAAGGTGCCCAGGTCCATAGGGAGAAAGTCATCCTTGGAGAAGGCAGGCTTCTAAACCAGTGATAGACAGAACGTTGTTACATCCCAAGCCCAGATAATAATTCTAACATCTGGTTCAGCGCCTTTCACATTGGGGGAAATTATCTAAGTGCTTCACAGGATATACTGTTTGGATGGGATATTGGCTAGACCACAACTGGAATACTGTGTACATCCCATTATGGAAAGGAAATCAGAGCCACAGAGAGGGTGTGCTGTAAATTCACCAGGCTCATATCAGGCATCAGTCATAAACTAAAACAGTGAGATACCAATGGTAGAATGTCTGGATAAGAAGGGATCTAGGGAAGTGTTCGATATTAAGACTGAGCGTGAGAGGGTTTTTTTCATTAGTTGGTAAATTGCTAACAAAGTGGCTAAATTCAGATTCTTAGTAGAAACATAAAGCCTCTCTCTCTGCGCCCTTCCTTGGGAACTCCATCCCACAGTCCCTTTGCCTCGCCCCCTCCCTTGCTTCTCTCAAGACTATCTTCTTCAACCGCGCTTTTGGCCACTCTCCCACCCCTACCCTCCACCACTCGTGATCCCAACCCCCAGATCGGGTCCAAATCCCGGAATGCCCAGCGCCTTGGGACGTCCTCCCAACGAGAAAGACGCTGTGTAAATGTCATTTGTTGTTGTGAAGCGGTGAGGTGAAATTGCTCGTAAAAAGGACTAGTGTGTAAAGCCAATTTGCTTTTCTCCCCCAACCATTCCTCTGCTCAAGCATCAACAACAACAGTGTTAGCATTTATACAGCACCCATCACACAGGGTAGAGTCCCAGAGCGCATCCCCTGCAGAGATAGTTTGAACACATGTGGACAGCAGACAATGAAGTCAGCACCTGGGGCCTGTGAACAGTAAAGGAACGCTAAGGAAAATGTCTTAGGAAATGACTTACAAGCTCCACCACAACAAACTCCTCCTGGGTATGGCCGCTGCTCCCACTGGACTGGCCAGAGTGAAGACTGACGTGAAGTGGGGATTCTGCGATGGGAGAGTCGGGTGGGTTTACCTGCGTTTCGGAACACAAAGAATGGGGTACAAATGGATCGCTGGCCAACTGTACAGCGAGCAGGTTGTGCCCTATAAATCCAGCCTAGCCACTAAAAAAGGGCGAATATCCCACCTGACTTACTTTTTTTTGTAGCATTTTAAGAGCGTACAGAATTTGTCTGCCTTAAATTTGAAGCTGGTGTGCTACAAGTCTCTTAAGAACCAACCATAAACTAGCTTTGAAGTTAAGACTCAATTAAGCAATTTGCTAAATTCTGGACCTTCTGAAATGCTAATTAAATAGAGTAAATCTATAATAATCCTTGCATTTGATAGGGCGCCTTAGCATGTCTTTGAGACGTCTCAAAGCACTTCACAGAATATACTGTAAACTGAATTGACTTGTGTATTTTGAGGACAAATGCAGCAGCCAACTGTGCACAGCAGCGTCCCATAGACAGTTGAGGATTGAGTGTCCAAATGACTGTTTTTTTCTATAAATACCGCCGGAAAAGCGCTCCACCAATCGACTAACAACGGGTTCCTTCTGACTGCTAGATAAATAGAGGCGTGTGGAGTAAGGAAACTTGCCCAACGTTCCGCTCTGCCCAGGAATCAATCCCAGGTCTCTCGCTTCCTGAGCTACAGGAATGCTAAGTAAGTAGAGTGAATCTAGACACTGGTGGAAGCACAGCTGATCTTTCACCATTCCTCAGCTCAGACAAAGGCAGTTGTGCCTGTGATCTGGTGCAGCGAGTGCTCCCCTGGAGATACAGGACGTGGGGACTGACTGTGGGACAAAGCTTTGCATTTCAGTTCAGCCCCTCAAGAAGTGATGCAGGAGGGAGGGGACAGTCAACCATTAGGTGCCCTTCACCCATCGCCAGGTAGCTGGCTACTGAGCACCATTCCTTCTGCCACGCGACCTGACTGCCTGCAAATCGGTGCGACAAAATGGAGCACGAGCCCCCCCACGCCTACCCCAGCAGCAGACTTGCATTTAATCCCCTCCACCCCAACCACCTTCCGGAGTGGAAATCGTGTCCCCCCCAGAGCCCATGGGGTCAAAATTGAAGCTTGTGCTAGGCACTAATTCACCTTGCATTTCGGTAACCTTTCCCAGGGCCAGACATTAGGAAGGCAACCAGACAACAACAACAATTTGCATTTATATAGCGCTCGTCACAAAGGTTTAGGGTCCCAGAGTGCTTAACAATAGCTGGAACGGGTTGCCAGGAGGGGTGGTAGGCACCAGGGCAATGCAACAGCTTGAGAAGCAGCTCAAACATCTAATTGCAGGGAGGAAGTTAGGGTGGGCACGCTGGAAGGATGAGATCAAATGGGTCAAAGAGCTTTCTCACCCCAACCTCCCCCGACCCCTCTCTCTCTCTCTCTCTCTCGTCAGGTGGTATTTTCACAGAATGGATCAAAACCACACAGTGCGCCCAGTTTATGGAGACTGACCCCATTAGCGACCCCTGTGGGTGCCTTGTTCAGCTCGTGCCAGACTCACCATGGTGTCCGTGTCCTCCGGCTCAACATTCTTTGGTGCAAATACAGCGAATGGCAGATCCATACCGGCAGCGGTGACCTGCGTTACACGGGATCGGCAAGTGATTTAGCTCAACAGGGAGACGGAATCTATACAGCGATTGTATCTCACAGCACATTGCAAGGAAAATGCATGAACCCAGTTACAACAACAACAACTTGCACTTATATAACGCCCACCACGCAGAGTAGTGTCTCAGAGCACTTAACAGTGGTGGAGCCTGACTCCAAGCTGGGGGGGGGGGGGGGGGTGTCGGTGGTGGGCGGGAGGTGACCATAAGCACGGTTGAAAAGGAAGATTTTCAGGTGAGATTTGGAAAAGGGGAGAGAGGGATAAGGGGGCAAGGGAGAGGGATTGAGAGAGAGTGTTCTAGAGTTTCGGTGGAGGAGGATGGCATTGTTGACTGTGTTGAACGGAGCAGAGAGATTCAGGAGGAAGAGGAGGCAGAGGGAGCCCTGTTCACAGATAGCGAGGATGTCGTTTGTGTCTTTGACAAGCGATGTCTCTGTGCTGTGGGCAGTCAGGGCAAAAACCAGACTGCAGGGGCTCGAGGAGGGAGTGGAGGGAGAGGTGTGACTGAGGTGTGACAATAATGTGTTCCAGGACTTTGGCAAGGAAGGGTAGGTTGGAGATGGGATGGTATTGTGTGAGATTAGAGGGATCCAGGGTAGGTTTTTTGGGGAGGGGGGTGATAACAGCGGTTTTCAGGGAGAGTGGAACAGAGCTTGAGAGACTGGTTGACCGTGTCGGCCAGCAGGGGAAGAGAGGGGGAGTTGAGTGACCGGCAGCTGGGTGGGGAGGGGATTCGAGGCAGTAGGTGGTGAGCTTCATGTGGGTGATTGTTGTGGTTGAAATGGAGGAGGAAGAAATGGGGGCAAAGGAGTGTAAGGAGGGAGGAGCGGCAGGAGCCGTGGCAGAGGAAGAAGGTGGCGTGGATGGTCTGGATGGGGTCATGGGGTGGGGAAGGAAGATGTACCCAAGTGGATTTTTCAATCTTTGAGGACTGAATCTTGTAACGGGCCCTTCACGTCGGTAAGACATCTCAGGGCGCTCGACAGTCAGGTTTTTTTTGACCTGAGCTGGGAGTTGGGGTCAGGAAGGGTAGAAGGGATGTGAGGATGGCGGAAGGCTCAGTCAAAGAGAGAGGTAGTTACACGGGACTTGAGGAAGTCAAAGAGGGGGTGAGGCTTAGACCTCAACCCACAGAATATGGAAGGACAGTAATCCATGTGCAGCACTGGCTGTGCTCCTGTACATGGCACACAGGGGCAGAGAGCCTCCTGGTGTTGGAGGTGAGCCCAGCAACCGCTGCAAACATTCCTGAGAACAGTTGGTGCTGACTAGACAGCTTTCCACAGGCATTCCCATAGTTGAGGGACATTAGTAATAATCTTTGGATTTGATATAGGACTTTATCACGTCTTTGAGACCTCTCAAAGTGCTTCACAGGATTAACTGTAAAGTAAATTTACTGTATATTTTGTGGGAAAAACGCGGCAGGCAATTGCTCACAGCAGCGTCCCACAAACAGTCGTGGATTGAATGACCTAATACTAAAGTAGTATTTTAAGTAGTGAAATTAACCACAATTGATGTCTACATTCTGCAGCTCAGCCTGTAGAGTTTGTCACGCTGGTACATCTGACTCCAAATGGGGGGGGGGCAGGCGGTCAGTCAAACAGCTTTAACCCAGCAATATTGCTCAGTACCTTGGAATGAAATGATGCCCTGGGCAACCTCAACGCAAGGTAAAACCAGGCAGAGCGAGGAAACGGCTTCTTTAACACTCGGCTCTATTATGCACCGTTTCTAGACCCGGGTGTTTTAAACAGCATGTGTGAACGGAGGTTTAGATAGTATTTACGGGACTCTTCATTATAGAAAGAGAGACATTTTCAGCACAGGAAGATACTTCACACTGACTCGATACCTGATTGGTTGGCTTATTGACGAAAGCCCCCACTTTTCTGGTAAAGGGGGGCTCCAGAAGACATTGGGGTGAACGACTCTTCCCCTCACCGCTCTTTGTCAGCATTTCTCCTTCATCGCTTCAAGAAAACAGTTGATTAGACAGAGGTCGTCGAGAGGGAACAGAATATCGCTGAAGCACTAGCCAGGGAACATCAGGCCCAGTCAATAGAGGGCAGCGATCACAGCCAAATCAGGCAATGAGCAAAACTCTCTCCACTCCCACAACGTATCTTATTCCCGCAATCGCGTTAGGGCAACCCATTCCAGCAACCAGCCCTCAATACACCGACTCCTCCAGGGCACTGGCCCCCAGTCCCCGGTGCCAAACAGACACAAATTACATATGTTTGATATAATGCCTTTTCATAGCAAAACTTTGAATGCGCTTCACTCAATGAGTAAAGTAGATTGCTGAGAATATCCCAAATTAAACTACTCAGAACTCTTTAGCCTCTATTGAGGAGGAGGAGGAGGAGGGGGTTGGCGTGTGTAAGAAAGAGAGATTAAAAAAAGGAAAGAGGAAAGAAAGAAGGAAAAGATTTTACTCTTATTGACTATTTTCTGTGGATTAAATCATCTGGAATTTTTCATTAAGATCATTTATAGAAGAGCAGTCCTCTTGGGGCATAACATTAGCTGCCTCTAGCCAGTTGGAGAAACATCTATTTACTGCAGCTCCCTGGTGTCTGTCCCGCAGCCAAGCCTCTATTCATACTGTCAGGTTGACGTTAACACCACGGGCCCTAATCATCGCAACAAGCCTATTCCATGGCACTGCATCAAAGGCTTTTTGAGAGTCCTCATCTACGAGCTAAATAGTTTACTCAAAACATCAGACCAGATTTGCCAAGCATGAGTTTCCTTTCAGATTACGTCAAGGGTTTTGTGCAAGTGCAAAAATGGGTCTGATGTGGGGCTAGACTTTGGCTGGAAAGTCCTTTGATGGAGACTAGAAGATGGCCAGAAATCAAAACCTGGTTAACCTGAAACGGACCGGTTCATGCCAAGTCAGGTCAGGGGATCCAAGTGCTCAATGTCAAAGTCCCTTGTTCCATTGAAAGCCTACAAGAATGACCTTCCCACCTTTTCCCCGTCCACAAGTGGCTGAACCGTACCTGGTAGAAGGAGATGTGTGACCGTGCCGGTTCAGATCCCCTGGGTGACAGACAGTCAGTCTGTCAGCTTCGGCCTGAATGCCGTGGGTAGGATGCAAAGGCAGAACAGGTATACCTCCCTCCTTGCCGGGGACAACCATCTAGGAAGGAGAGTAAGTCAGGGATTATCAAAACAGGAGCGACTTAGAATCCCTAACCGAACTAAGGAACACTCGCGGTAAAAGGTCACTAATTTAGGGCGAGCTACAATGCAACACGAGAATTATAACTCATACGTCTAGTAAAGGATGTTAGGAGCTGAGCCTTATTCGGTCAAGTTAGGATTTCGTGCTCCAAATGCAAAGTGCCTCTGAGGACTGCAACTCATGACAGAAAATGCACGTGCAAGTAAAAGGCATTTATATATCGTCCCAAGTACTGGCAGATTCCAGTAATCTCCCTGTTGTAACTCACTTGATGCGAAAAGACCAAAGCAAGCATGGGGACCTTCAGAGTGTCCGTCACCATTGGCTTGGGTGTCTGAAAATGTGTCTTACTAACAGTGAACATACACTGTGCACAGAACAGACACACACAAAAGAGAAAGAAGAAAAGAGAAACAGAACTTAGAGAGAAATGAGCAAGAGCTGCATGCATCAGAATCCCCAAAACTTTTAAAAGTTCGGATTGACGAGAGAGAGAAAAAAAAATCCAGAACGCTTGTGACAGAAGCCATGGGAAGCGACATCATTCTGTACACGAAACAAACACCATCGAAATTTACAACAATCAGTGATAAAACATCAAGATGGGTATCGAGGGGAACAGTGATCTAACTCTGATCGTCGCCATTTCTTTCCCACTGTGACAGCAAGCATACTAAATACTAGTGTGAGCCGTGCAGATTGGTATTTCCTTGGTCAAGATTATACTGCATTTGCAACGGAGATTAAAGCACACTACATACAAGAAATTCTGAGACAAGCAAATTCACTGGAAATATATTAACAGAGATTTGAATTTAGATGAATGAATGAATCAATGAAATCCGAATTCACTAAGTAGTTATCTCACACACTTTATTTGGATAGACTCACAAAAATTTCCCTTACTCCTTACCTGGGAGGGAGGAGAGGTGGAGAACGAGGTGGTACAGACTTCCTGGGAGTCCTCCACAAAGGGAAACTGTCCTGTATCGTCCTCGCTGACTCTGCAGATCGGGGAGGAGGGGGAAGGGGAGAGGGGGTGGGGCAAAGAGAGAGCAGAGAGATTTTGTGGGCGAAATTCACTGAAATTCAAAACATTTGTCAAACCTGCCTGCTCTGAAAGGTGCCACGGTGTTGAACACCACAGGCTTATCGTCAACCTGTTACATCCCAACAGTAACTAGCACGGTTTGGCTTAAAGTATTGAGGAGAGGGTCAGCCACTCCACACATGGAACAACAAAATTTGTAACGTGTAAATTTGAAAAGCCATTTATCAGGCCCATTCTCGTGCAATTACTTGCAACTGTCAGGGTACAGTGACATTGGCTGAAGCAATTAGCAGGTTTCCAATAGCGTGGACCAGGTGTTGGGAGACAAATAGTACAATAGGGTACAGAAAAGTGGCCATTTTTGTTCACCCCAAGACATTGTGAGAATGGCCCAGAGTCTCTGCTTGGTGGTGGACCAGTTTTTAAAATCAATTTCAGAAGTGGAAGAAACAAAGATAGGTGTTTCAAAGGTAACGATTATTATTAATAATCCTTAAATTATAATTAATAATAACACTAATAATCGAGCACTAAAGAGTTAAACTTCAGCGTTAACTTGAAAGTAAAAGCTAACCAAAGGGTGATGGCAAATAAGGGAATAGAAGACAATAACGGAACAAATTAAATGGAAAAAAGAAAATTATGGTAAATTGCGTAAATTTTAAAAAAAATTAAATTCAAAGTTGTCGCCACTAAAATTGAGATGTCAGACCTGGGAAATGAACCATTTTTCCGCCAATTGGCATCCAGGAAGCAGCAGAGTGGGTCTGATGCAGAGTAAAGCTCTCTCTACACAGCCTCACTAAGGGCAGCCTCAATCCAAGGCTGGACAGTGTGAGATTACTGAATCTACCACATGGCCAAATATATGCCTAAAGGCTGGTAAGCTGCTCTTCCTGGGTCCAACCGTAACTTATTCGTGGCTGGTGTGAAATTGCCGAATTTAGCATTTAACTTTCAATTCTGGGCAATGTTAAACTGCAAAACAGAATGCACTGAGATCCGGAGAGAGAAGAAATGAGCTCGCTAAGCTTATGTCCTGCGCTACAGTACAGCTAACGCTCTGAGCTTTTAGACTCAAGTTATTGTGTGTCACTGTCCCACCTGTAGTTACATGGGTGGAGTGGTGAAGATCCACCATAGGGACGATCTACAAAGTGGTCTATGATAATCCCCATGATTGGCTGGGTCCGCTCCAGCTGCCTGTGAAATAATTCACAATAAAAATAGTAACTTTTTTAAAAAATATGTAAAGATAACGACCTATTAAAAATAATATTAATAAACTATTATAAAGATCCCTACCTCTCCGACTTGCTTACTCAACTTCCCAACCCACCAACAACATTCGACTAGATCTGGCCCCTGCATATCCCTCGTGCTCTCTTTTAGCCACTACCCCCCGAAACTCTGGAACACTCTCCCTCTATCCCTCCTTCTTCCCCATCTTCAGGTCAAGCTTGAAGACTTTCCTCTTCAACCGTGCTTACGGTCACCTCCCCTTCTCCCCCCACCCCGGCTCGGTGTCGGCGTCGTGTCCATCGCGCTCTTGGACGCTACCCTGTGTGAGGGGCGCTATATAGATACATGTTGTTGTTGACCATGTAACTCAGTTGGTTAGATTTACTTGACAATAACTCTTATAAGCAATTGGGAGGAGAAAGCTCTATCTCTCCCAGTGAAAGAGTCCACTTTTTTCTTAAAGCTAAAGATTCAAGATATTAAAACGCATGGACTGAAGATATCTTAGATGGTCTTATGGAACTTTTTCTTAAAATAATATATAATATAACAATAAGATCAAGGACTTACAAGGCTCTGTGATAGTACATCTACCGCACAGTCAAATATATGCTTCAAGATTGTTCCCTGATAAACTCTGGCACAGACACTGCAGAGCTGATTACTACCCGACCACAGTATCAAAGATGGAACGGCAGCAATAGATGACATTAACACAATGACATTAAAAAAAACGCAGTTAATGAACGATGAGAAAAGAACTATAACTCAACAAGGAATGAGTTTCAGAAAGCTTGAAAAATGTTAAGAAAAAAAGTCAAAGCTGGAAAGGAGAGAACCCGTCAGCATTTGGCCTTTCTTTCCTGTAACTTCCAGAAAGGAGCCACATCTTTTTTTCCCCCACTAATCTATTCCTTAATAGTAACACTTTAGGAAGGATATCAAGGCCTTGGAGAGGATGCAGAGTAGATTTAACCGAATGGTACTAGGGATGAGGGACTTTAGTTACGTGAAGACTAGAGAAGCTAGGATTGTTCTCCTTATAGCAGATAAGTTTAAGGGGAGATTTAATAGAGGTGTTCAAAATTATGAGGGGTCTTGACAAAGTAGATAGGGAGAAACCGTTTCCACTGGCAGGTCGGTCGGTAACTGGGGGACATAGATTTAAGATAATTGGCAAATAACCGAAGGGGAGATGAGAATTTATTTCTGCCATTGTTATGGCCTTATATACACTGCCTGAAAAGGTGGTGGAAACAGATTCAATAATTTTCAAAAGGGATTTGGATAGGAACTTGAAAAGAAAAAAATTACAAGGATGTTGGGAAAGAGCGGGGGAGTAGGACTGATTGGGTAGCTCTTCCAAAGAGTTGGCACAGGAATTTTGGGCCGATTGGCCTCGTTTGGTGCCGAACTATTCTATGATTCTATAATAATCCTGTAGCTCAGTGGTTAGAGCACTCGATTTTAGGCAGGGCGAAACGTTGGCCAAGTTTCCTTGCTCGACACGTTTACCTAGCAGTATGTGAGAACGTGGTTGTTAGTCAATTGGGGAATCGCTTATCTGGAGATATTAATTCCTTCAAAAAAAAATTGGTCACTCAATCCAAAACTGTGTGTGGGAGGGACACTTTGTGCGCAATTGGCTGCCACGCTTCGCCCCAAAGATACATAGTCGCTGCCCATTACAGGATATTCTGTAACGCGCTTTGAGACGTCTCGAAGTCGTGTTAAGGCGCGATATCAAATGCAAGGATTATTGTTATTCAGGTAAATTGGAAATTCTGACAATACATCCATATCCCCCTTTGTGTGATACTTAGCTTAAAAACTGACAAGAGAATAGGAAATGAAAAAGAAATGTGTTCAGCGAAAAGAGTGACAAACATTTGGAGGAGGCGAACAGCATAAGTAGCGGTAAAGAAACTATGGAGGGTGTTGTTACCAAAAATGGTCTCTCAGTCCATGATCGTTTGTGGGACACTACTGTGCGCTGGTCACTCGCATAACAGTCAATCCACTTTACAGCTTATCCTGTGAAACGCTTTGAGACGTCTCGACGACATGAAAGGCGCTTTATCAAATACAAGGATTATTATTATTATTAAAATGGAACCAGACGTATTCCTGCCAATTAAAAGGATTTGGCCATTTGATATAGTTTGGGGCTATTAGTTTTCGCCTGCACCCAGGTGTCCAATCCTCCAATTGCTTTCAGCTTGGGACGTTACCAGTTTACCTGCTCGACATGAAAGCCAGGTTGGTGCGGTAAGCACATGACAAAGTGACTGTGCCCACAGGGGTTCCGACCGTTCCAACTCGCACGGTCTGGAAACCTGGGAAGAGAGAGAGAGAAACGGTCTCTGACACATGGAACACAAGGCCTCAATACTTCACAACAGTATACCTCGTGCTTGAAAAGGGAAAAGATGGCGAATCCGGGTGGGAGTGTTGGGAAACATTTTGCAGGTCAATGGAGGACAAGGGGTGTGTGCGTGGGGAAAGTCAAAGCTAAGCAGCCTCTGATACCTCCTGGCAGGTAACTACAGGGAGGTGACAGTTTGTGCTCCTGCCTCATACTTACCACTAAACAATGCTGCGTTTTTACACATCGCAGCTGAATTGGAAAGTACCACAGTATAATTCAATATCCTCCATTTAGTGCAGTACTTTAGCTTTGTGGTTAGAGAACTCGCCTCGCAGGCAAAAGGACTGGGTTTGATTCCCCGCAGCCCAAAACGTTGGGCAATTTTCCTTACTCCACACGCCTGTTTACCTAGCAGTAAGTAGGAATCCCGTTGTTAGTCGATTGGCAGATCGCTTTTCCGGGGGTAATAATCCCTTCCAAAAAAAATAGAAAATAAAGGAAAATGCTGTCACTCAATCCACAACAGTTTGTGGGTCACTGCTGTGCGCAATTGGCTAGTGCGTTTCACCGACAAAATACAATTAATTAATTTTACAGTGTGTTCTTGAAGACATGATAGTAATTACAAGGATTATTATTACTTATGTTACCCACATGGAATTACTACACTCTGCTGAATCGCAGAACAAGCACCTCACTGCTTGTGTAAAAACTGGAGCAAATTAAAGCCAGTCCTCGCTGTGGTTTAATTCAGAGAGCGTCCTGATCCAATAGCAATACAAGTGGAAGCACATTAATGCTTGGCATTGCACGCTGTGCAAGGTATTAAAGGACGGTGCTTGCACACCCCTTTAATGCTGCTAACGTTCTTAGCGGGGCTCGAACAAACTAAACCTGTGGCATAACTGGAGTGGCCTGGAGCGGCTTGGCACCAAAAGCATAAGCTCACGATCATTAGTGGAAGAGTAAAGCGGAGGCTTTATGACGCCCGTTCTCACTAGTTAAACAGATCAGCAATAGAGCACAATATAATACAAAATGACATTTGTAAGGCACCTTTCACGTCGGGAGAACATCCCAAGGCGCTGAACAGACAGGGATTAGGATCCGAGCAGGGTGGGGGGCGTGGGGGGTTGGTGTCATCAGTGAGTAGTAAATGGTTTGTACGTAAACCTGTATTGGTTAAGTTTTACTTCTCGTACACAGCAAAACATAAGCAGAAAAGGATTGCAATGAATTGAACAGCTCCCAGACAGTGCAAACAAGCCCGTTATAAAAATGCTGGCTTCACTAACATGATTTGTGGGGACCTCCCTGTCTGATCCCATTGTAACAAATCTAGATTGCTACTTATTAACTGTAAATGGAGGTACTCTTGATGTTTTATGAAGCAGACCTTGAACTCGAGTCGATATTGAAGACGACAGATTGTATATGCAACATAACCTCATAGACACACAGAGCAGTAAGCATTTTTGCACGGACCTTATCTTTAAAAATCAGGACAAGAGAATAGAAAATGCAAAAAAATATTTTTAGTGAAAGGAGTGATAAACATGTGGACCAGACCCCCAGCACAGACAGATTGATGGACAAAAGGTATTCTGCCCCACCCATTGGAACTCCACCCAATTCTCTTCTCCCCTGCCTCCATCAAGACGTGCCTCAAGAGACTACTCTTTGACCGTGCCTTCTGCCACCCCACTACCACCTGCCTTCCACCCCTCCTTATCCCAACCCCCTGCTTGGGTCCAAATCCCTGACTTTCCAGCGCCTTGCAATGTCCTCCTGCGATTGAAGGCGTTACACAAATGCAATTTGTTATTATTGCCATTTTCAAAATGAACCAGACAAGTTTTGGTGATCAGGTTTCGAGTCAGAGGCATCACGGGGAATCTCTCTCAACGCTCTGGCAGCGTGTTAGGTAAGCAGATCCGTTACTCTAGGAGGATCAGGAGGAAAGTTGGTGGGGTTTGAGGTGGGGATGGTGGGTGGCGGGGGTGGAGGGCGGATGTTTTAAATAAAATTTAGGAACGCACCTTCACCCAGACCATTCAGTTGCACATCTCCAAAATAGATCCTGAAACAAAATAGAAAGTTAGTTGGCATGGAAGCCAATGCATTTATTGGGGCTGCTTCTGACGGACGAGAAGTTAAAACAAGATCCCATCTGCGTTTGTTTAGATGGACATTAAAGATCCCGTGGATAGTTCTACTGAGAAAGAGAAGGAAGTTTCTCCCCTTGTGCTAACCAACAATTCCCCAGATAAAATTAGTCACGGATGTTTGTGGGGTAGTTCTGCCAAGCATGTCTCCAAAATTGTTGGTTGGTTATCGATTATCAAATTGCTTTTCCAGGGTAATAATCCCTTCAAAAATAACAAAAAATTTAATAATTTGGTTACTTAATCCATGACTGTTTGTGGGACACTACTGTGTGCAATTGGCTGCAGTGCTTCGCTCATAAAATATACAGTCAATTCATAAACTTTACAGTATAGTCTATAAAGTGCTTCTAGGCGCTATATCAAATGCAAGGAATATTACTGATAAAATAGTTTACTGTAAAATCTTTATAAGTGCTTTAAAACATCTCGATGACGTGATATTAAATGCAAATATTATTAATTATTAAACACTGTCCTCTTCCAAACACTGGCTCACAATGCAGAATCTGCAATCCTGCTTGAATAAATTTTCAGTCCCGCAAACAGCTTTTCGTAAATATGTTACAAGGAAATCTCCATCGTGGCAATGCGCAAAAAGAAACCTCCTGATGCGATTGCACAATACAAATTTATTTGATAATGTGCTTGATCTCCTAAGAAGCACTTCACGGGCAAATTCAAACACAAAATGGAACCTTCCTTCCCCCACCACACAACCACCATCCCACCAACAGCTGCTTATGCGAGGCATAGGGAACCACAATCCATCAGAAGCGGAAAGAAATCAATGTCTTCCAGTCGCGAAGGTAGAAGGTGAAAGCTGGAGAGAATAATAGGCTAGCATTTTTTATACCTGTACAGGATTACGTAGTCGTGCCCTTGATTTCTGGATAGTTTATACGCAGGCGTTACTCTTGTGATTGCAAGGAGAGACTTCAGTAGCAAAGAGAGTCTGTTGTAGACAGTGTAGGAAACTTTAATCTCTTTGTCACACCTGAGCAATTAGAGAAAAAATAGCAATATAAAAAAAATCGTCACCTGTGTTATTTCTAATATAATATCTATTTTGATTATTTGCTGTGATTGGGGAATGTGAGTATCTGACTTTTACTTGTAACAGTTAAACACCCACTCCCCACCATGAGGTACCTTTCCCTCCCCTTCACAACACTGGTCAGAATGAGGACTTCTATGTCGTGCAAGGCCCTCTACTGTCCACGTGATGAACAAACAGTTTAATTTGAGAATGAAAATAGGAGTCGCTAAAAACAGAAAACGTTAACTCATTTTCAACTCTCCATAAATGCTGGGTGATCTCAGCGACGTCTGTTTTTTTTATTTCAGATTTCCAGCATCTGGAGTATTTTGCCTCTAGTTTAAATTTCTCGAGGACACNAAAAAAAGCTTGCGCAACTTTCAACAAAGATGAGAGCCTCGACAGGCAAACTTACTTCTCATTCATTTCCAAACACCATGTTTCCAGCTCCATGGAATCTCCCTGTCACATGAAATAGAAACAGGATTGAAATACATACCAGAGCCCTAATCATCTTTTAGTACCAGGGCAGCTGGTGTTTGCTGATCACTAAAGTCCCCAAACTGAAGCAGGCGAATAAATAAAATGGCAGTGTCTTGAAAGGGGACATAGATTTGTAACCTATTTTCCTATGAAGACACTCATAAATTTCATTCCATGCTTTTGTTTTTCCATCACACAACTTCTAATCTCGGTTGAAATATTTTGGCTTGATAATATTAATCTGAAGTAGTTACATATTTGGAGAGCGTGTTCTTTCGCTTAAGCAAGCAGTTAGAATATTTTGCGCGGGAGGCTAGTGCGGGGGAAAAGAGGAGGAATTATTTCTTAGTTTACTCAGAATATTTAAAATCAAGCCCTCACAGCTGTACCTCAGACGTCTTGAGAGAGATTTCCACGCACATTGACCGGCCGATTCCCGGCAGCTGTCCCGCCAGTGCCTTCTTGGCTTCATGGGTGACTTCAGGGATATCCTTTATTGCCAGATTAAACTGCAACAGGGAATGCCACAATCGTTATTGTTTCATTCGCTACAGGAGAGCATCGCAGGATAACTCATCCAACTACATTACCCCAACTGTACATTTCACGAGTTAATAATAATAAGAATCCTTGCATTCGATTTAGAGCCTTATTGCGTCGTTGAGATGTCTCAAAGTGCTTCACAGGATGTACTGTGAAGTGAATTGACTTGTATTTTGTGGGCGAAACGGAGCAGCCAATTGCGTATAGCAGTGTCCAACAAACAGATGTGGATGAATTTTTCCCACCCAAAGATCACACAAAGGTTCAGAGGAAGAAGGTCCTTGTTTGATCTCATCTTTCCACCCTACCCTCCTCCGATTTTCCTTTGTCTGGTATGGATGGTGCACTGTCTACCCAGAGGGAAACACCCTGCTCACCTAATCCCGGAAAGTCACCTAATCCCGGAAAGTAACAGGCGCAGGTTGGCAAGAGCCAAGGCTTGGGGACCCCAGAATAAGCATTTGGAGGTACTGCTGGAGTTTAACCAGCTTGCTGTTGCAAATACTGTCTGGCAAGCTTCCTGCTTCTTCAATTAGGACGCCCCTACCCACCCGTGAGGCCTTTGGCTTACAGGGTTAACAGGACCCGTGCAGGAAGAATCGCAGCCCTGGAGACCTTCTCGATTACAGTGATCTTCTCTAATCTCACATCCACACTTGTTCAGAATCACAGAATTTTCAGCATAATAGGAGACTATTTGGCCCATCAAATGAAATTATTTTTAAAGTTTACCACTTTACCACAGATGACCTATTTTTAGAATCTTAGAAGGTTCCAATAAACACATTTTAAAAATACAGTCAATCCACTTTACAGTGTATTCGTGAAGCTTTTTGAGACGTCTCAAAGACGTCATAAGGCGCTATATCAAATGCAAGGATTATTATTATCATCCAGCATGAGATAACAAGCTTCCACTCTCACCCAATATTAAGCTATAATTGAAAACTCCTAATCCCTAAAAACAGGATTAGGTTTGGACGCAAAACTAATTTCTACTTCAGTTCTGATGCAGAGAGAATAAAAATCACCAATGTATTATACTATATTAAGATTCTGGGGGGGAAAAGACAAAGAGAGCCTTCAGCCACTCTGCCCCCAACCTCTGAACTCCACCCCGCAGTCCCCTGCCTCACCCCCTCCCTTGCTTCCTGCTTCCTTCAAGACCCGTATCAAGACCCTCCTGTTCAACCTTGCCTTTGGCCACCTACTACCCCCTGTCTTCCACCCTCCCCGATCCCGACCCCCAGCTCGGGACTGAAACACTGAATGTCCAGCGCCTCGAGAAGTCCACCCGACGTGAAAGGCGCTCTACAAATATAATTTTGTTGTTGTTGTAAAAGGAATGATATGCAATTCAATCCACCCGGAGCTGGTCAAGAGTACACAAAACCCATCCACTTACCCAGTCTGAGCCTGTTGGAGAGGAGGAGGAGTGGGTGCATATCTTCTCTCCGAGTCGCGCCTGCACAATCACTTGCGCGGTCTAACAGACAGATAGATAGAAAAGTTTTTTAAAAATTATTGAAGATCTCGTCATATTTTGTATATTTTTGTCTTTTTTCTAACAGCACGAGTTTGAAGAAACCAGCCATAAACTTTACAAACTCTGCAATAAAGCTTCAAAAACGAGCTGGGAATTTGAACATCGTTGATATCAACAGTACTCGGTGGTTAGCAGCAGTACACACAATTTTGTGCGCAATTGGCTCCCGCATTTCACCTGCAAAGTACAGTCAATCCACTTTACAATATATTCTGCACTTTGAGACATCTCAACAACACGATAAGGTGCAATATCAAATGCAAGGATTATTATTATGTAACAACAGGCCTAGATTCTTGTTCTGTCTCATGTTAAGGAAATGAATGTGGGAAATGAAGAGGCAAATCGACAGCTGAGCTTTATTTAGTTTGAACAGAACTGCAGACCAGAGGGAAGACTAATGGGAGCTGCAATCCTCACCTCACTTGCTATGTAAGGTGATATAGTCTCCAAATAAAGTCTGGTCAGCAAAGCTGTACCAATGTAGAAACATTCCTACCTTCAGGGCAAAGAATTTAATGAACTTGTCCAAGTCCTTCTTATCCTGAGGGTTCAGTTCACTGTCCATGGTTATAGAGATTCTGGTGGGGGGAAAAAAAACAGAGTAACTAGTATTGATTTGTAAAGAGTAAATCAAGTAAAAGAGATTGCAAAGTTGCAATTAGGAAATCTTTTCTCTCCTTCCTGCTGTGTGTTTGTGGGGGGGGGGGGGTGGGGGGTGGGGGGCAGGGTAGTTAGTTAGGGTTAGGGAGGGGGTGGAGGGAAGGAAAGACACTGGAGTTGTTCCCATTTTCACTCATCCTAATCCAGGCTCAAGGCCCCAACAGAAAGCCTCTGGTTGAACGTGAGATGATAACAGGATCAATGGACCATGGTCAATAGCTTGCTTTTGCTCATTGTACTTGGTTGCACATGAAGAGTTATTTCTAGGTTTGATGCTACCTGTATCCCAGCATGAGTAGCCACTCTGAGGAAAAGAGCAAAGGGGAAATGAGTTGCGGAGGGGATGGGGAGGGGGGGGGGGAAAGAGGGAGTGGGCGCGGTGGGGAGAGACAAATTAAGCAAAACTCTGGTCTGGCTACAAGGCATTTCCCTTGGCCTACAGAACTCTCCTGTGGTGTGTAAACATTAGCGCTTTAAGTAGACAAACTCAGAACAAAAGGTACTCATTTTGCCAACAAAATACAGTCAAATTCACTTTACAATATATTCGTGAAGTGTTTTGAGATGTCTAATGACGTAATAAGGCGCTATATCAAATGCAAGTATTATTATAATTATGTTCATCAATTTTGCAAGAATGGAAATGCTGGGATGGCATAAATGATATAGCCAATCCTTCTGCTATCTTTAAGCATTAATTGTGTTACTGTGTTCACAAGGCATTACAGAACCCCACACTTTGTGTTTTTCGATCTCCACAGAGAACTTGCTGGTTAGTAAAGTCCTGCAAAATGTGTTAAATAAACTGGAGACATCCCAGGGGAAGTGCTTCCCCATGACCCACAACATATAGTCAATTCACTTTAAGGTATATTCTGTGAAGCGCTTTGAGATGTCTCGAAGACATGATAAGGCGTCATATCAAATGCCAGGATTATTATGGACGACCCTGCTCTACTCATTTCAGTTCCAACAAGGCGTGAGCGTGTCAAACTTTGAAATGTGTATTATTATTGGAATCGTCTGAAAATCCAGGTCATTTGCTAATAAATAAATTTAAAAGCATGCAAGTACTGTTTTTGTAAATAGTGATTCACTTTACATTGCAGCTTATATGCCACGCACATATGTTGGGGGATGGGGGGGAGAGAGAGAGAGAGAGAGAGAGCAGAACCTCTTCCTGATTTAGCTTACCCAGTGATAAAAATTAAGAGGAAGTACCTTCCAGAAACCGTCTCATTAAAATTCAGGTTCAGGCCAGATTTTTAGACCACAATAAGGTTAAATCAGTGCATCGTCATCTGAAACCCGAGAGGAGTTCTCTTATTACCTTCAAATCACCTCCTCCTGTTCAGGAGGATAGTGTTTAAACATTGGCTTTTTTTTTGGGTGAGCGATTCTACATACAGTGCTGAAAATCAGCGGATAAACACAGTGAAATATCAGTGGCTCGAAAACCTGATAACACCCGGGCTAAAATATTACAATTTGAGACAGTAGGAGATTTAAACTCAAATCAGTTTGTAGCTGATTTCAACAAAACTTAACCTAGTTATCCAGTACACACACATACACACACACACACACACACAACCCACGAAACGCGCTGTTAAAAGGTGAGTTTACACAGTAAGATTTAACACTTTCAGGCCATCTCCCGATTTGGAGCACACAGGAGAATATTCTACATTTCGGAAGGCTGCCTTCATACCACCGTCGACTTTCTGGTGTGGAGAGGAGAGGAGGGAGGGAGTGGGGGAGAGGAGGGAGGGAGTGGGGGAGAGGAGGGAGGGAGGGAGTGGGGAGAGAGAGGAGGGAGGGAGGGAGTGGGGGAGAGAGGGAGGGAGGGAGTGGGGGAGAGGAGGGAGGGAGGGAGGGAGGGAGGGAGGGGGGAGGGAGGGAGGGAGGGAGGGGGGAGAGGAGGGAGGGGAGGAGGGGGGAGAGGAGGGGGGAGGGGGAGGGAGGGAGGGAGGGGGGGGAGAGGAGGGAGAGAGGGGGGGAGAGGGGGGGGAGGAGGGAGGGAGTGGGGGGAGAGGAGGAGGGAGAGGGGGGAGAGGATGGGGAGGAGGGGGGGAGAGGGAGGGACAGGGAGGGAGAGAGGGGGGGAGAGGGGAGGGAGGGAGGGGGGAGAGGGGAGGGAGTGGGGGGAGAGGAGGGAGGGAGGAGTGGGGGGAGAGGAGGGAGGAGGGAGTGGGGGGAGAGGAGGGAGGGAGGGAGGGGGGGAGAGGAGGAGGGAGGAGTGGGGGGAGAGGAGGGAGGGAACAGGAGGGGGAGAGAGGGGGGAGAGGATGGAGGGAGGGAGGGGGGGAGAGGAGGGGGAACAGGAGGGAGGGAGAGGGGGGGGAGAGGGAGGGAGGGAGTGGGGGGAGAGGAGGGAGGGAGGGAGGGAGGGAGGGAGGGGGGAGGGAGGGAGGGAGGGAGGGGGGAGGGGGGGGGGGGGAGGGGGGGGGGGGGGGGGGGGGGGGGGGGGGGGGGGGGGGGAGGGGGGGGGGGGGGGGGAGGAGGGAGTGGGGGGAGAGGAGGGAGGGAGGGGGGGGAGGAGGGGGGGGGGAGGAGGGGGGAGGGGGGAGGGGGGGAGGGGGGGAGAGGAGGGAGGGAGGGGGGAGAGGAGGGAGGGAGGGGGGAGAGGAGGGAGGGAGGGGGGGAGAGGAGGAGGGAGGGGGGGAGAGGAGGGAGGGGGGAGAGGAGGGAGGGAGGGAGGAGGGAGGGAGAGAGGGGGGGAGAGGAGGGAGGGAGAGAGGGGGGAGGGAGGGAGTGGGGGAGAGGAGAGGGGGGAGAGGAGGGAGAGGGGGGAGAGAGGAGAGGAAGAGAGGAGGTGAGGGAGAGAGGGGGGGAGAGGAGGAGAGGGAGAGAGGGGGGAGGAAAGGAGGGAGGGAGAGAGGGGGGAGGGAGGGAGTGGGGGGAGAGGAGAGAGGGGGGGAGAGGAGGGAGGGAGAGTGGGGGGAGAGGAGAGAGGGGGGGAGAGGAGGAGGGAGAGAGGGGGGGAGGGGGAGGGAGAGAGGGGGGAGAGGAGGGAGGGAGAGAGGGGGGAGGGAGGGAGTGGGGGGGAGAGAGGGGGGGAGAGGAGGGAGGGAGGGAGTGGGGGAGAAGAGGGGTTGAAAAGCACGACAATGCAGAAGCGATCCCCGGTTTACAGCGCTATTAATGTCCCTCTCTGCTCCCAAATTTCACGCGGGTTACAAATGTCACAGTGTGTGGCAAAGTGACGGGCGCCGTGTCTCACAAACACATCCGAGCTGCGTGTGGGCAGAGGGCATTCTGCCAGTTAACGGGATCATTCACCCCCACACCCCCACACCCCAATAGCTTTGACTTTTTAAAACCATAAAGATAATAAACCTCTGATGCTGGAGTCGGATTTTCTTGGGGACCCGATTTCACAAGTGAACTGGTAGCATCGTTTCTGATCGGTTTCCCCTTCCAACAGTTCTGAACGCACCGCAATTTAAATAAAGTCGGAATACCCATCAATAGGTTTGCAGTTCCCGAGGCCCTGGTTCTTGTGCTTCTTTTTTTCTGGATCAAAACGCCACTCTTTTTTTTTAAAAAAAAAGGAAAAGCTTTTGGGTTGTGACCCAGGAGAGTTCAGGGTTTTAACAGCTAAATAAACCACTGATGGTTCAGTCTGTTTCGACTTCATTCCACCTCTCGTTGAAAGCACTCCGGCCCTGTTCCTGCTCAGCCCATCACTGAGTCCACAACACTTCCCCACATCTGTTCCCCCACATCATCCCCGAGGAATGGATGAAATGTATTAGTTTGTTCGATTGACTGCAGTGCTTTATTTTCAAAAGAAGCGAACGCGGATTTTGACAACTGACGACTGGGGATCGATTTCGAACCTCGAAAACGGATCGCTTTTTCATTCGGGATCCGTTTCCTCTTCGAAAACAAGTCATGGGACACAATTATTTGTTAATTTAGCCAAATGCAGCTGTTGGCGTTTGCACTGGGACTCGGGGCCCCTAATGTTCACTGGATCACAGCACACACCCAGGGGTTGCTTTGGGGGTTAAGTTGAGGAAACAGAGGAATCTTCGGATTGAGAAACCAGATATTATTTGGGGATTCAATGAAATGGCGATTGTGTTGACATTTGCTGCAGCAAATTCCTATGAACGTTCGCCTAACAAAAGCCCCCACACAGTCACTACACCTCCACACCGTATCAAACGCGAGGAGTTTGATTACGAATGATCATAATAAATAAATGAAAATTAGATGGTTTTTGGTGTGTGTGTGTGTGGGGGGGGGGGGGGGGGGAGCGGTGTTAGGAGAAGATCTATTTTCCTGTATAAAACCCGGTGGGTGTTTACTGGTCAGGTTTTGCTCTGTGGTTGAGGCGGTGTTGGGAGATGAGGAGAGTCGGTGCTCGGCCGACACCGCCAGACCGGGGCGTGTGTTTCTTGTACTCCCTTTCGCGTGTGTGGGAAAAAAAACACGGGGTTTGGGGGAAAGGAGGGCGCGGGTGACTCATTATTTTAAACATTAACCTGAAAAACAGGTCCCCCCGTCCCTTCGGCAAAGCTGTTCTTACAATTGGTACTATCTGCTATCTATGGTGGGCAACACACACACACACATATTTATGATAATATTTATGATAATATTTATGATAATATATTTCGGGTATATATACACACACATATAGATATATATTTCGGGTATATATATACACACACACACACATACAGATATATATTTCGGGTATATACACACACACATATAGATATATATTTCGGGTATATATACACACACACATATAGATATATATTTCGGGTATATACACACACACATATAGATATATATTTCGGGTATATATATACACACACACACTCTGGGCTACTTTGGGGCGAGTATTTTGGGCTTCAGACCTTATTCTAATTGCTGGCAAACCCTGACCGGGGGTGTATCACCCAGAGCCCCCCCTCCCCTCCCCCTCTGCCTGTCCGCCCCCTGTCTGTCTCTCCCCCTCAGCTCCGCGCTGACAGCCCCGGCCCTCGGGCCCTCGGGCCCCGCTCGGTTGTGTGGTGTTGACCGCACTCCCCCACAGCCCGAGCCGCCGCGGCCTCCACCACTCACCCCCAAACATCACAGCGGCCTGACTGGCCCGAGGACGATCCCCCTCCTCCTCCTCCTCCTCCTCCTCCCGCCGCTGCTGCTGCTGCTGCTGCTGCTCCCGGAGCGGAGCCGCGCACGACGGTCGGACACAAGCGGCGAAGGCCCGGTTTCGGGTCAAAAGAACCCCCCAGGACGCGGGGACGGCGCAGCGGCGCGTGTTTACCTCGGGCCACGCCGCGCGCCGCACTTTCGCCATCGCGAAAAAAACTCCCACCATCAATCAAAACGCAACATCCTAATTTTTGTTCACAGCTTTATAAGGGGCGAAATAATATATGTACATTTTTTTTTTTTTGGGCGCGGCGGTCGGGGGGCGCGCACCCACCCCGCCAATGCCACGGGGAAGCAAACCGGCCCCGAGTAAATAATAACCGGGAGCCGCCGAGTTTGTGGAAAGTGCAGAGCGGGATCGCGCCGCTCACTTGTTGTGGTTCGGCTCTGCGGCTGCGCAGCGCCGTCCCCTGCCACTGGCCTCCACGTCACGGAACTACAACTCCCAGCATGCAGCTGGCGCCAGGAGGAGCTGCGCGCAGCCGCAGTCAGACCCTTGTAGCCATTCGTGCAATTGACACAACAAGGACGTGACAGCCGTCCTGAGCAGTGCATTGGGCCGAAATCATTACAATTCCGGGGATCTGTTTGAGACGTCTCAACGACGTGATAAGGCGCTATATCAAATGCGAGGAATATTATTATTCTCTCGACTCTCGACTCTCTACCCCCTCCTCGCTCCCTCCCTCACCCTGACCATTCCCCCCCCCCAATGCTCGGGTCCCGACCCAACTGTCCAGCGCTTTGGGAAGTCCTCCCGACGTGAAAGGCGCTCTATAAATGGAATCTTGTTGTTGTTGTTGTATCATCATCATCTGACACTCTTGTTTTTTTTCTAGAACACTTCTTTTAAAGACAGAAAGGCAAAGGGATTTGGGGTAGGGAGTTCTAAGCAGAAAGGGGTGTCATTTGGCTGCTGCCAAGTGAGTCAAGCAGCAGACCCGAGCTAGCGGAATGAAGGCAATGGCAGGACAGTGCAAGCCAAAGGAGATTACAAGAAGCAAGAGGCAGCTCACTTATGTTTTATGAGGTGCCTCTGTAACTAGATTCCAATTTGTTATCTGGGTGACCCTTAAAACCCAAAGGGAAGTTATTCATTCATTTACTGGGAGGTGGGGGTACCATGCCACATTTCCTCAAGTTCATGAATCAGCTTGGTAACAAACTGGAACTGACTCCCTTGTCTCAATTGGACAGGTATGGTTCTGACTGTGAGAGATGTTGCTTGGTCAGACCCAGTTGATGCAGCTAATGTCAGAAATTAAAATACGTTTGGAGACCAAAGTTTACCAAACGCTCAACGCAAAGTAAGCTCAATATTATGTGTTGCCTTCGATGAGTAGCAGAGTGGCTATTTTAGGTTAGTGCTTTTGAAAAAAATTAAAATAAATTTTAAATTAGGCACACACACACTATGGAGTATCCACAAAGTCCTCTTAAACCCCCCCCCCCCCCCCGTTACAAAACAGTGGTATGAGACTACGGAGGAGCTGAAACAAGCTGTCAGAGATACATTTTGCCTGGTCACTCTGTCCATGTTACGGAAGGAGTCGCAGTGAACATGGTGCCGGATTATCATCTGCCTTGAAAATGATGGCAATCACTCACACCGATCCTCTGGATGTCTAAATACAGTTCATCACTTTACTGAATATATTTAAGTACTTTGAAATACAAGGGGCATCATGTTTCAGTGCAGTGAACTTTAAAAAAAGCACATGGGGTGGGGGGCGGGGGGTAACAGGACTTTGTGGAGACTGTACTGTAGTGTACAACAAAAACACATGCCTAATTTGGCAAGAATGAAACCCTGCTCAATCCGGTAACATTGCCAGACGATAAAAAAAAATTCACTCCATCCACAACTGTTTGAGGGACGCTGCCGCGTGCAATTGGCTGCCGTGTTTCGCCCAGAAAATTTACTGTCAGTTCACTTCACAGCATATTCTGTGTCGGGCTTCGAGACGTCTGGAAGCGGCAATAATTGCGCTACATTCGAACAATGACAATCCTTGCGGTTTGATATAGCACCTTATCGCGTCATCTCGACGTCTCAAGCTGCAAGGATTATTATTATCATTATTATTATTATTCCGTGAAGTGCTTTGAGACGTCTCGACGACGTGATTAGGGGCTCTATCAAACCGCAAGGATGATCATCATGACCACTATTATTATTATCATTATCATTATCGTTATTATCATTCATTTTGTGGAGTCCTGTAGCTCAGTGGTTAGAGCACTCGCTTTGGAAGTGAGAGACCTGAGTTCAATTCCAGGCAGAGGGCGAAACCTTGGGCAAGTTTCCTTACTCCACACAGAGCCTAATAATAATCCGTCCAAAACCCAAAAACAATAATAAATTGGTCATTTTCAATCTACGACTGTTTGTGGGACATTGCTGTGCGCAATTGGCTGCTGCGTTCGCCCACAAATATACAGTCAATTCACTTTACAGTGTGTTCTGTGAAGCGCTTTGGGACGTCCTCCCGACGTGAAAAGCGCTATATCAAATGCAAAGGATTATTATTATTATTATCATTGCCGGTGACTCGATGGGATCGGCGCTCGATTGGGTCGGCGAAAAGGGGCGCTCGCCTCTCGTTCGATCCAACCGAGCGGTCGATCGATTGATCGGGCCTGGCTCTGTGATGCCGCCCGGCGCTCGTCGCTCGATTGCCCGGGCCTGGCCCCCCGCTTGCTGTCTCGGGAGCTGCGGTGTGAGTGAGTGAGAGAGAGAGAGAGTGAGTGAGAGAGTGAGAGAGTGAGAGCGCGGGGGGGGGGGAGGGGGGGAGACACCGAGCGGCGGCGGCGGCGGAGAGAGAGAGGGGGAGAGGGGGGAAAAAAAAGGACAATTATTTCGCGTTTAAAATAAAGGGAATCCATAGGCCTCAGAGAGCCGACACCAGGGCTTTCCCGCCTCCTCCGCGGCCGCGTAACACTCCCAGCGAGAGCCCAGGAGGAGCCGCCGCCGCCGCCGCCCGCCCGAGGTAGGCCTCAGCCCGAGCCTGAGCCCCAGGCTGTCCTACCGGGAGCCAAATAGGCCCAGAGCCCGGACCCAGGCCTTCCCCCCCACCTCCACCACCACCTCCACCTCTCGCCGTTCTGCTCCTCACTCCGCTCTCCCGCCCTTTTTTTTAATTTATTTTCTTTTTCTCTCTCTCTCTTCCCCCCCTTTTTTTTCCCCGTTCGTTCTTTCTCCTTTCGTTCGTTGGTTGGTTGGTTGGTTGGAAGAAGTCGACCCTCCGCCGCCGCGGCTTTCTTTCTGTAAAAAAAAATATCACGAAAAGCCGCTCTCCCCCTCTCCCACCCCGAAAAGGATCCTGACTTGAAGGGAAGGAAGTCACCGTTAAAAGACTCCCCCACTCTCCCCCCCACCACCCCCACACACACACACCCTTCTCCCTCCCTCCCTCCCTCCCTGTCAGCTCCTGGCGAGGTCAGGAGCTGGAGTCCCGAGGAAGAGGAGGAGGAGGAGGAGGAAGAGAGTTTAATAGGGAATTAGACAGATGTTCCACAAGAAAGAGAGCTGTAAAGCAGCTGATTGCTGAGGGGAAGGGGGATGTTAAGGGCTGTGGGAAAAGGAAGGGTCTATTAATGGGCTGGTGGGGTGGGGGAGAAAAGGAGGGCAATAAGGGGTGTGGGGGGTGGGTGGAGGGGGAAAGAGGGTAATGTTTTAAAGGGCTGAGGAGTGGGCACCGAAGGGGCGAGTCTTCTGCAAAGCTGCTGGAGGCTGAATGGCCTCCAAAGCTGTGAGGTTTCTGTCAAAAGAAGTGGGGTGGCTCCAGGTGTTTGGTATCAGATCGCAGGTGATGTGTAATGTGTTTGTGATTTTTGTATTCAGGAACGTAGGAGCAGGAGTAGGCCATTCAGCCCCCTGATCCTGTTCCGCCATTCTTTTCGATCTTGGCTGAGCTGTACCTCAGCTCCATTTATGAAGCCTGTGCTTCATATCGCGTAAAACCCTTACCTACCAAAAATCTGTTGACCTTAGTCTTGAAAATTTGAATCGATTCACAGTATTCACAGCTTTTTGTGCATTTTTCTTAATGCTCTTATGTTTTTAAATTGATGAAATCACACATTCTTGCTAACTTCCCAATTCCTTTCCTCTTTTTACCCCCAAGGTATGTTCTGAAGATTTATTTAATTCAGTTTGTTTCCCCTACTATGATTACCAAAAGCACCGTAATAATAATAATAATAATCCTTGCATTTGATATCGCGCTTTTCACGTCGGGAGGACGTCCCAAAGCGCTTCACAGAACACACTGTAAAGTGAATTGATTGTATATTTGTGGGCGAACGCGGCAGCCAATTGCGCACAGCAATGTCCCACAAACAGTCGTGGATTGAAAATGACCAATTTATTATTGTTTTTGTTTTTGTAAGAATCTAAAGGAGATGGCAATAAAGGGGCGAGGGCTCGTGAGGAGTATAAACGCTGGCAGTGGCTAGTTGTGCTGAATGGCCTCTTCCCATGGCATATGATAAAACTATGTGTGGAAGTATATAGAGTTTTATGATGATCATAGTTAGTTATGTCCTATCATAATTAGGACAATGCAAAAAATTATTTGGAAAAAACAAATTATGGTATTTTCAAATTGCACCATCTAAGACAAAACCTTTTGAAATCTTGTTATTGTTGTTTTGAAGTGCCTGAAGAAGAATAGATATAACTGCTTATGTCATTGTGAAATTTATGTTGCCACAAATTATTTATTAACTTTAGGGTTTAATTTACATGCAGTGGCCTGAAGGCAAATGTTGATCTGATCAAAGTATAGGTAGGGTTCCAAGGCCAGATCCCACTTGCTCATTGTATAGGATTCTTGACATATGGCATAATAAATGCAACAGTGGTTTTTCTATGCAAAATATTTCCTCCTATATTCAGCTGTGAAAAGGTTAGCCAGTCCTTTGTAAATGTCGCTTAGAGACTTTGGCACAGATAAAAAGCTTCAATATATTTGTATCTTTTTTTTAGAATTTTGTTATTTCCATACAAGCATGTTGGGCGAGGAAGGAGTTTTAGTGGTTGATATATGCTATTATGTGTTTCCATATTGGAGAGGAAGTTTCTGGTACACTTGTGGGAGACGGGCAGGTAAGGTAGAATCTGATTAAATAGAGAAGGAAGTTATAAATGGCCCTGAAAGCTTTATATTCTTAATTTCTGTTAATTTGCCAAGTGATTAAATAATAATCCTTGCATTTGATAGCGCCTTATCATGACTCTGAGATGTCTCAAAGTGCTTCACAGAATATACTGTAAAGTGAATTGACTGTATTTTTGTGGGCGAAAATGGGCTGTGGCGGAAAGAATAAAAATGGGTAATTTTTGTGTTTGCAGCTCGCAGCAATCCAAATGCAGCCAGAGTGATTCTTGGCAATCCTGGCTGAGGTTTTGCAGTGCTAGTGAATCTTGAGTTTGGGTGACTCACTGCTCACTGGGTTCAAATGATTGTCGAAGATCAGGGAATGGATAGGTGCTCCTTTTCAATCTATTTTTACTGATGGTAGGGTTAAGATTTTCTTTTCGCAACATCAACTGTGTGTTTAAGTACTCCGGGACACTACCCAGCATGGAGGGTGCTTTATAAATGCAAGTTGTGTGTGTTTGTTGGCACCGATAGTAGGAAATGAAACTGAAGCGCTTGCCTCCACCACCGATTGATGAAGCAAAATTAACAACCATTGATGTAGGTTTTTATTTTGCAATCTAGTTCATTTACAATTACGTACAGGTGTGGTAGGGGGCGGAGGAGAGAAAGGTGTTATTTCGTGAAAAAATCTACTTTTTCTATTGCAGGAACAGAATGAGTAAGCTCATTATCAGTACAGGGTGCAGTTCATTGTGTTTGGGAGAAACGTCTAACTTGTAAGTAACTCGACAATAACTAGGTTGAATGCAAGGAAATATTTTGAAATTGGCACACGTACATTTCGGGCCTGCTGTTCAGATTTGGCGTTAAATATTTAGGTGCAGTCACTTGTTTCAAATAAACCATTTGGCATATCTGATGATATAACTAGAACATTAATAAATCAGCAAGGCATTCCTAATACTAGTATTAAAGTCAGAGATTTGGTCAGTATCTCAAACTGGGTTTAGGGCCTTTCTAATAAACTGGGTTTATTTTCTGTGTAGGAAGAGTTGTGTACTGAGGTGAGCTGTTACACCCATAAAAGGCAGCTAAGAGTTAAATGGCCTGCTACAATGCTGGATTACTGTCATCCCTTTTCAGAGAGAAACCACATGGAATAAATGTGGCCTTGAATTCAGGATTTCATTAATAATGGCAAAACAAGCCATCTCCAAAATGCAGAGAAACAAAGGGGTGGTATGGCATCATTATAATGGTTTTAGCCGTATAATAGTGTCGTAACCATTTGTTTATAGTGGGATGTCAACCGAACACTTTACACCAGTTCACTCACTGCTTTTAGTGTGAGTGTTTTATCACTGATGGTGGTTCACTTTAAATGGAATAATACATGCCGAAATGTTAAAATGGTATGCTGTTAATTTTTTTATAGCAATTACTTGATATTTGACCCTTATTTAAGAGTGATTTAACACCAAATGGATGTTATTTGTGGAGTCCTGTAGCTCAGTGGTTAGAGCACTCGCTTTGCAAGTGAGAGACCTGAGTTCAATCCCAGGCAGAGGGCGAAACCTTGGGCAAGTTTCCTTACTCCACACAGAGCCTAATAATAATCCCTCCAATAAACCAAAAACAATAATAAATTGGTCATTTTCAATCTACGACTGTTTGTGGGACATTGCTGTGCGCAATTGGCTGCCGCGTTCGCCCACAAATATACAGTCAATTCACTTTACAGTGTGTTCTGTGAAGCGCTTTGGGACGTCCTCCCGACGTGAAAAGCGCTATATCAAACGCAAGGATTATTATTATTTGAACCTTCTCGTGAAATATTTTTTTGCTCCCATAGCTTAGGGGAAAAAGTTGCAAAGGGTTATTCAGTCAAATTACAACACCGTTTACAATACTATTTCACTTGTATAGATAAGTACCTTTCACATTAGGAGGACATCCCAATGCGCTTAGTATCTATTACATTGTTTATAACCGGGTGGGGGTGGGGGAAATCTCAATTTTGATCAAAACAGAATAAAATGAGCGATGAAAAGTGGGATCTGTATTTGTGAGTTCCATAATATAGTAAATTCTTACTCTCCTGGATCGTTGGATCTTTATCTCATTATCCTGGTGATTCCATTCAGCTGCAGTTCAAAGTAGTGACTGTATGAAATTAAGTTGGCTCCTTTCACCACTTTCCTGTGTGCCATGAAGGAATAGCCAACAGCTTTGTGAACTGGCATGTTTAAAGGCGTTCAATGGGTGTGTTGTACAATTAGCAAACCTTGGAGGGAATTTAGAGTTGACCAAAGGCCTGGTTGGAGAGATGTCTCTTTGGGGAGATGTTTGAGAGCAGAGATAGCCGAACCAATTATTTTTGGAAGTGAGTTCCAGTGGACAGAGGCTTGGTGGCTGATGACTTGGTGATGGGTGAATTGGGAACAAACAGTATAACCAAGTCAAAAGACTTGCATGGCTGAGGACATGTCTACACCTTCTACATCTCATGAAGGCTGAGTGCCCTGAATGAGATTTGACCCGTGGCACTCCGGTCCCAAGTTGCTGTTTCGTCAACAAAGCTACTGAGGGCAGATGTTACACGGCTCAAGAATACAAATTTCAAAGTTCAATAATTGCTAGAATCAAAGTTGCATATTGCGAGAAGGTGTCTTTTTAATAACTTTTTTCAAATTTCCAGGTCCCTTTATTGGCCGCTCCAACTGTTACAAGCAGAGCTGTTTTTCTCAGCACCAGCGAGTGCTTGGCTGTGCTGAGCAGAAGGAGACACTTCATGTTTCCGTGTTTGGTGTTGCCATTTATAAAATGTATTTACATTTCCAGTGTCAATGGAACACCAAGATAGACATTTAGACAAGCACAGT